GCTTTATTTCTATAGAGCCTGATTCTGAAAATCCAGAGCCAACTTCTGAATGTCCGTCCCCAGATTCTTCACAAAGGACTTGTAAGAGTCCGTCAAAAGCAAGCAAGGTAAAGCAACAGTGTTTGCACAATAAGCACAGGAATAGCCATACACATCTGTGGTTTATCTTTAAAAATGTTAATCTTATTGTTTACACGTTCATCTATCTGTGCAGTAATTTTACACAGGTAAACACTTGTAAGAATATTTATCCATACACTCTGGAAAGTCAGTTTGTGTGCTGTTCCTTCAGTATCTGTACGTATTTATAGATGATCTTGCATTTAGACAGAGAAGAGATGGTGTCTGGATTCAGTACCAGTGCTGTTCTGAGGGGTGAGTGCTGAAGAACTGGCACTCAGAACCAACAGCAGGGATGTGATTTACCCTTAACAGGAGGTTGCTCTTGTCGTGGCAGGGTTTGGCACTGTTTTGTTAGTCAGGGCACTGATAATACAGGGGAGGATGTTGAGTAATTGCCTGTGCCATATGAAATGAAGTAATTCAGGTAGTAATGTTTAGTCTGCTTGCTTGCACTACCTCAGCTTTAAAAAGTTAAATCATGCTAAAAATGGCTTTATTTTTGTAAGTGGTCTTCTCTGGAATTACTTCTTTCAGATTCAGAAATCCAAAAGTTTTAACACATAACAGATTCAGACTTTGACCTGATGGGTCCTACTTCTGTTACAACTTTAAAATACAATTGCTAGTCTTTGACTTTGAAGAATTATTGACACATACTTGCTAAAAATAATGTCTTTCTAAGCTTAATCTTTCTGTTGTTCATGTTTTTCTTACACCATATTTTCTTATCCTGCACCTTGATGCTTCTTTTTTGCCATCAGGGAGGGTATTCTGAGATCTTCTTTTCTCTCTGCTGCATGCATAGTTGAATATTTTGAATGTGTAGCACTGACTTGACTTTCTTTTCATTCCAGCCCTCTTCACCGAATCCTGTAGTTTCAACGCAGTCACTTGGGAAAACACCCACAAAACCAGATTCGCACTGGGAAACTGCAGCTAATGCACCTGAGACCGAATGTGCGAACCATCCAAAATCTGAGCTGCAACAAAAACAGCTGACAAACAACGTCCAAGCACTTTCAAAGAATCATCCATCTCAATCACATCTGCGCAGTTCTGCTGAGCAACTCTCACATTCACAGAAGTTGCCTTCCGCACCTTTGAAGCTGCATTGCCCCCCTTCGCCTCATGTAGAAAATCCTCCCAAGTCTTCTACCCCTCACGCGCCTGTGCAGCACGGTTATCTGTCACCAAAGCCTCACTCACAGCAGTTGGGATCTCCATACAGACCTCATCATCCACAGTCACCTCAAGTTGGAACACCCCAGAGGGAAACACACCGAACCTTCTATCCGGCAGCACCCACCCTTCAGCCCAGTAATCAGCCACAGGCGAGCGGGCCCCTGTTCACTCAGACAACATCAGGACAATCCTCAGCTTCTTACAGTCAGTTTAACCAACAAAATTTGAACAGCAATGCACCACCTCCCCCACCCCCTCCACCCCCTTCTTCTACTTACTATCAAAGCCAGCAGCCCTCTGGAAACTTTCAGAGCTACAGCCAGCTGAAGGGCAGCATACCCCAACAAACTGTGTTTTCATCTGGACCAAATCAAGCACTTCCTGGCACTGCAGGTCAGCAAACAGTGCCGGGACACCACGTAGCTGCAGGGCATTTTCTGCCATCTCAGAACCCCAGTATTCATCACCAGGCATCGGCATCCGCTGCTCCGCCGCCACCTCCACCACCGCCTGCGCCAGGGCCTCACCTTGTCCAGCAGCAAAGTACTCATCAGCAGCACTCTGTAGCACATGTTGTCGGTCCAGTCCATGCCATGGCAGTGGCTCCTGGATCGCACATTCATTCTCAAGCTGCTGGTCACCATTTGCCACCACCTCCTCCACCACCAGGTCCTCTCCCCCACCACCAACCTCCCCATCCTTCCACGGGACACCAAGGTTTGCAAGCACAACACCAGCATGTTGTAAACTCAGCACCTCCCCCCCCTCCGCCCCCTCCCTCCAACGTTATCGGTTCGGGCCACCACCCGGCATCAGCACAAGGGTTACACCACCCCTCTCATCAAGGACCCCCCCATTTCCCTTCAAACGCTCACACAAGCGTGTCCTCCTATTCCTCGCAAGCCCCACATCACACGACGTTAGGACCTGGACCTCAACATCAGCCTGCTGGCACAGGACCTCATTGCCCACTCCCTGGTCAGGGTCCTCACATCCAACCTCAAGGACCAAACAGTATTGCAACACCTACTGCTTCCGGGTTCTGCCCTCACCCCGGCTCCGTGACCCTTCCCCACGGAGTGCAAGGGCAGCAGCAGGCCTCGCCGGTGCCGGGACAGATCCCCATCCACAGAGCACAGGTGCCGCCCACTTTTCAGAACAATTACCATGGGTCAGGGTGGCATTAAAACAGATCCCTTTAGTTATAAACATTTTTAAAATGTTCTGTAATATAAACTGTGTATATTTAATATGTACCTATTCAAGGTACTTTTTAAAGCTTGTACATGATACTTTGTATAAAAGCAAACACCAGTGCTCTTCCATTGTATCCTTTCCATTTTTTGCTTTTTAAAATTCCTGAAAATGTGCTGTTAAGCCAGTATTAGGTATTTCTTTTTATTTTGTAAGTGGACATTCCAGCTGTTTTTTCTGGCAGTAGGTTTGATGCTGCATAATGTTTAAAATTTTATTGTTGCAGTTAAATTCATTTAGTGAAAGTTTTCTATATTACTTTTATACATATGTAATTAAATAAGTACACAGGCTAAGTGATGGCACTAACAGTTTGTTTTGTTTTTTTTTCATTTTCTTCTGTCAACAGTTTTTTGTGTGCATAGAGATAGGAAACAATGCAATACAGATTTTTATAGTTTTGGTGTGGACATGGCTTTTTGTTTCATCAGTTATTTGCAGAAATTGTAATTTAATGTATAGACTGTTTCTAATGTCTGACGAGTGCTGTAAATACTGTATTTCTTTCGCTTGTAAAGTTGCTTAAAGCTTCTTTCATTTGATATAGTATTGTATATAATAAGTCTTTTGCAAAAAAAAAAGTGTGATCTTTGTGAAAGTAGTACAGTATATGATCTTTAATTTTTTTTAATATACTGTCACATTGCAGCACTGGTTGGGCATTTTAATTCATGTTAATAAATCACAATTATGTCAGTTTTAACTACTTGTCCTGGAAGGGTGGTATGTCAGCAGGGAAGTGGCCTTAGGTCTGTGGAACACCCCCTCTGCTCCCTGCGAGGCTGTTCACTTCCCTGCAGTCTCCAGCTGTGGCTTTACTTCTGTAGCACAGACAGATGTGGAACAGGCTGGAGAAGGAGGTTGAGGAAGAATCCCCCCAGGCACAGCAGAGTCTTGGGTCAGTTTACTGATGTTAATCAGGGGCAGTGATGTGGTACAGTGTTGTGTGCTAGAGGTGTTCTGACCTTGGCTACAGCCGTGGAGCCACCTGCAGCTCATTGTAGTTCATTGTAGTTCCTCTTTCCCTTTTTGTAGCTCTTCAGGCCCTGCTGTTGGTGCAGACTTTGAGGAGTTGAGTGTGTGATGCTGTAAGGGGGCACAGAATGTTATAAACTATGTAGCACTTTGGTTTTTTAAGGGCAGTGTTTTTTTCCTGCAGCAGAAGAGCAGCAGCTGCTGTAAGTGCTTACGGGTGCAGTTATTCTGTAATGGGTGTGTGACAGTGTCCTTCTATCTCAGCAGTAACTGCTCTCAATTCTGCTCACATAACAGGACGGTGCTCAGTGGCTCCAACTCAGAACCAGAGAGGAGAACCAGTGTGGGAGGAAACCTGAAACGGGATAGGAGGGGAAGTGGCTGCTCCTACTCACTGAAAAAAAGTGGTAATTCTTTTTAAACTGTAGACAAAGACTGGGGCCACTTTAATTTCTAATTTGACTCTAATTAATTTTATTAGTTAAAAACACACACTTAGAAATGCTTTCCTGAACACCTGCTGGCTCTGCAGAACACACACAGTGGGGAGTGCACTATGTTTTGCACTAGCCTGATGTAGGACAGGATTAGGCCATCAACAGCAGAAAAACTGAACCCACTCTAGCTAGGAGTTGCTCATCACTGTTTTTGAAAAAAATCTACATCAACCTCTTGAGCTCAGTATTCAAAACTGGTTGTCTGCCCCCGCTTCCACACCTCCATGAAGTGACAACATCATTTTGAGTGTAAAACACACGCTGTGCAGGGCAAGGCCTTAAGTGCAGCACAAGGAGCTGCTGCACGGGGGTGCAGAGTGGGACGAGGCCTTGCTGCCTCAAGTGCTTCTGCAGTGCCATGGCCAGGCTAGAGGGGAGAGCCGTGCCTCTTGTGCTCACTTGCCTGCCCTGGCTTGACCTGGCACTTTAATCCAGTGCCAGCATTTTCTGTGTATTTAAGAACATGGTTCTGACATGTAGCAATGGGCACTACAGGGGCCAGGCTGGCTGTGAAGTTGAACATAATTTTTACCTCCAGTTCAAGTCCACTGTGGCATCATCCTTCGCACCAGTGTTGTCCTTGCAGCCATTAAAAGCAGTTCCAGGGATGCGGGTGAAGGCACACGGTCCTGAAACCCAGTTGCTGTCAGGGCCTCAGAACTGGATGAGTTTCTCCCACCCGGGGCTTTGGCAGTTCTCTGGAGGAGTGGCTGCCCCAGCCCTTCGCTTGTGACAGGAGTTAAACAGCCGGTAGGAAAGGCTCTTGTTTGCTTTTGCCAGGTTTCACCCAGCAGCCACTCCCAGCCCTCCTGCCACAGGCTGCTCTCACTGACACCAGGGGGGGTATTTCATAAAGGAACACAGGAAGCTGCGTTTCTCTGGCCAAGCTACGCCAGCCCCCACCCCCCACCCCTCCAGCACAGCAGCTGAGTCGTGGCTAGGCAAAGATTCCAATGACCAGCAACACTGTCTGAAAAAACAAAACACTTTAATTAGACAACTGCAAGCACCTCAAACAACTGGTTATTGTTACAGCATGGGGCTATCTTCTCACAATCTAGTTATTGCAAAGGCATGTGAATAAATTTCATATGGACAAAGTCAAGAAAAAAAGTGGCACTGTAGTTACATGAAGATCAGGAGTAAGCTTACATTCATCCCACTGACTTCTAAAAGAGGCCCAAACACACCTCCATACTGTACATTCTAAAATCTGTATTGCCTATAAGCTTCAGCCTATGCAGCCTTTCCTAGAAAACACGTAATTGTTGCGTGCAACTTACAATGGGCAGTCGTATGTCTACGGATGGGAAAGAATAAAGCTAGTGCAATTTCTTTTAGAAACATGTAAAGCTATGAATGGAATGAGCATGATCTCACTTCTTGGATTATTTTACCCACTGCCCTGTAAATATCTGCAGCTATATCCTTCCTTAACTGACGCCAAGCACACACTTTTATTATAAAAGATCAGTAATTCTACACAGAGAGTGGTTCTCATGCTCTACTTTTAATTTTTTTTCTTTTTCTTAAGGTATAGTACAACTTACAGTGCTTATAAAAAGGCAACACCATATGGTACCATGTCTTCACTATCACATTGTAGGGAAATTGCTATTTTTCTTTTCTTAAAAGCACTTAAAATAGGCAAAAGTTCTAAAAGGGAGTGCTAAATGATAATGCATACTTTATTAGAAAGAAGTCTAGCCTTCCTTTAAAGTGCCATTTGGGGAATGAAATCCTGTAAACCAGAGCCACTTTGTTTAAAATCCAATGAACGGGAACTGCTACAGAATAGAAAGTTTACACAATTCCTTAAAGCAGTTTAAAGTCCACTACATGCAATTGGTTTGCTATAAAGCTCTCTAAAACTTAAGTCGCTTTACTCTGAAATTGAGTCCCCAGTCCCATATTTAAATGGAAATAAACATTTACAGGGTGCATTTACATACACTATAATACAAGAATGATGTCCCTTTGCCAGAAGATAAAATTGTACAATTCCTCACTGTAACTCAATTCTGACTTGATAAATTTCTTACACTCGTAAATTATATAATATGCATCAGCTAAAATATTTTTTTTTTCATAAATAGTTACAAAACTTGCCAAAACACATGGGGGGAAGTTTCCTTTGTTCAAAAATCTGACATCTGAATGTCACACAACACAAGAAACAATGCTTAAAGACACGTTAAGTGTTTTCTGAAGAAAGTGGGTGAGTAAACTACTAGCTGAAGACAAAAAGACTACCCTTCCCCAAGAACACAGTGCACAAAAAGCAAAATGTCAAACAGTACCTCAAGCAAAATAAAGGTCTGAGGATTGAAGCCAGCTCACGTGTGATCCTGCTAAAGATTTTGTGACAGTCACCATTTAGGTCCAACGCATTGGAAAGTGGTTGCTGGCTTTTTTTTTTTTTACAGCTGGGAGATTTCTGCTAAGAATTCAGCCATGGATGCCTAAGGCATTCTCCAGCTGAAGCGCGTTTCTCTGGGACCATTTCTAGCATGGGGATCAGGAAATCTGTAAACTGTGCAGCATCTTCATGAGGCCAACCGTACTTCTCCACAAGCACATCAAAAAGACTCCAAGGTTTCAGCTTGGTAATGTGTCGGAGTTCTCCTGCGAACAGAAAGATGAATGGCATTAAAAAAACACCTCATTATCCATGTAAGTGACTAATCCCTGTTTCGTTTTTCTCCCACTCTGCATTCACAGCACCTTGACCAGGCTGAGAATCATTGCTGATGAAGGACAGCACACAGCAAGCTTGAGGTCCTCAAAGGAGACGAATATGTCCGATGTCAAAACCAAGAAACCATTCCTACAGCAGACAGCATGTTATACCTGGACTCCACTGATGTTTCCTGCTGTCTCCACACTCCCACACACAAAAGACTCACACACAGGCTCACACTGTGGGCAAAGAACACTGCAGGCCTTTCCTTCTTCATCAGCCAGCGAACCCAAGTTTTACAAAATCTGCTCCGATCCCACGACAGAGGTCTCAGAAACACAGGTCCCTGCCTTGCTCCATGGCATTTGCCAACAATGCAGCAGAGCAGCGATTCATTCCTAACCAAGCAGAGCAGGGAGGTTTGGCACTCAAGGGATTCTGCTCCATCTCCCAGGTAAACACCCCCGGGAGGCTTGGTCTGAATCCTTCCTGAGAAGGAAGCACCTACTGCTGCCCACGTCTCCTTCAACCAACCACTGAGACAAATGGTGGCAGCAGCTGCAGGATCTGAGTTCTCACAGAGGGGGGGAGACTGTACATCTGGCCAACCTGGCAACATGTCTCAGACCAAAGCAGAGGCGAGAACCTGTCTGCCATTAAAACCTGCAATATTATCCAGGTCTGCCCACAGCTCATCTGACATGACGGGGAAGACTCTTCAGTTTCCTGCTCCTTCACTGCGTAGGAATGAGGCCTAAAGCCATGAGATGGACCATGAGGCATGTGATGAAGGGATTACCATGGATTACCAGGTTATCAGGCCAGATGATGACCCTTACTGCTGCAATCAGCTGGGCAGAAGAGGGACTGAGGTGTCACCTTGTGCAAGACCCGCAGCCTTTGTAATTGAGGCTCTTCATATCCCTCGTTTACATATGACGTGGCTGCCCCCCCATTTATGATGGCAATAGCAGGAAATTTGACTATGGTCTCACCTCCACTTTAGCAAAAGGATCAACCTGACATTTGAAATCCTCTGTGAGGAGGATGAGACGAGTCAATGGGCTCGCTCATCTCTCTATCCCAAAGCAGAGACATCCATCTAGTAAGATTTGTGCTTCTGACTGTGTTGGAGCATACCCAGGAACACTTGTACACAGTGCTTGCTATACACTTATATTTTGTACATCTAGTACATTTATCACCAGCAACCTCACAACAACCTATAGCTTGTTGTTTCAATAAACTATACTTGTCACAAATCTGCATTTGTGAAAGTTCTTACTGAACACAACCAGACTTAAGAGCGCCCGACCTGTTCTAAGCAGTAACAAAGCCCAGCTGCACCCAGCCTTCTGATCTCTGAGGACCAGATGGAACACAAGGGCAGTTGTTTTCTGCCATATTTCTATACTCTTAAGGCAAGCCATGGCCATCTCCCTTCTTCTCAGGCGTATGTCTGACCCAGACGGTCTCCACGTGACACGGCAAAAAACTTGAGAGACCGCTGTGGTGTTTCTGCAATGTCCCCTGAACTGCTGAGGAGAGTGATGAGGTCTCACCCACAACAGGAGGCTGAACATGGCTCCTCCACAGCTTCACAAGCTCACTATGCCATCTGGTAAGGGGGCATGCAGGCCATACTATATTTAAGCAAAGTGGTCTGCCAGCTTGGTGGTTATGCGTGGCTGTAACCTACTGCCCATAAAATGCCATCAGACATCAGCTCACAGGCAGAGTCTCTGTACATCCCTGTGGCTAGAGAAGTTCCAGGGCAGGAGAAGAAACCTGTGTCAGACTGCCCAAGAGTCTGAGCATCTCAGTGCAATGGAACAAAACCCCCAAAGGCTCAGCAGGCCACATATCTGCTGGCTCAGCCCTCAGCAGAAGGTCCTACAGGGTGAGGTGCTTGAAAAGGCAGCTCTCCAGCCCCTGTCACCAGGTCCCCAAAAGTGCAAGTGTGCAAATGATCCATCACTTGCAAGTGAACAAAAATCCTGCTGGTTAAGAGAAACTCAGGATGTGCTACCCACAGCTGGCCCACTGTCCCCTTTCCATCTCACAGGGCAGCAGGGTTTCTGAGAGGGGACTGTAAGCAGAGGCTGCATTCTCCTGTTTTATGTCTGAACATTTACAGCACAAATGTGTCCCGTCAGTACCTGCCAGTCAAACACAAAAAGGCTCCACTTTGGGCCCACTGTCCCACAGTATGAACGTACAGGAAGGACAGCACATCTCAGAGCAGCATATTCATTTCCAGCCTCACTCTCACTCCTTTAAATCTTTGTGCAACTCTGAAACTTAACTGCTGAAAATCTTACCTTTTGGAAGGTTTCCAAAAGTGTATACGGGTGACTACTTATAAGAACAGGTAGTAAATTATGTAAGCACAGACTCAAATACTGCCTAAAAGCAATAGAAAACAGTGACTAACTATTGACTGCAACCAAAAATTTACTAAAAAAAAAAAAAAATAATCAGGCTGTGTCCATGGCTTCCCCAGCTGACAACAATCATTGCAAGGGTTGTCGCAGTCATTTACCAAACTAGGCTATCTCTGGGGGAGGGTGTGTGTTTCCATGCAGCACTGTCTTCCTCTCTGCATTATACTGTTTCCCATTATATTGTTTCCAGCATCTTTCCTCCCTCAGATTTGGTAAGGTAAGACTGCATGATGAGGCTCCTGGGGGCGTCACTGTGGAAGGCAAGTTCATGCTGTTTGAGTACTCCTTATTCTGTAAATGCTCACACTAAGACCAGCACAATATTCTGTAGAGTTTTTCTGCTGAGGAAGGAACTGTTTTAGCACTGTGGACTCAAATTTTCCACAAGAAATTCTATGAAGATTGTAAAAGCGTTTAAGTAAAATTATCTGTGTGGGGGCCACAAATTAAACTAGTGCTTCAGTTTTCAATAAGAATCATGATGCTGACCATGGAATCAAAATAGGGTAAGTAAAAGACAATTAACACAACTGAGGTGGACAAAACATCCTAAGAATTAATTTTCATGTGGTGGGTCCTTTTCAATTCCATCCTGAAGTGGAAGAGAGCAGCACAAAAAATGGAGGTGTCTGCCAACATGTATTTTCATCTATTTAATGAGGCTTGTACCAGGCAGGGTGAAGAGAGCAAGCCTGTACCTGTATTTAAGGGAGAAATTAAAAGCACAGGCCCCACCGGTCTGACACCATCCATATTCAGGGAATTACCATGAATTTTCAAAGAAATGCTAAAAATGTAATACTAAGTGAGATCTTCCTAGCAGAAACTCTTTATTTAGATTTTTTATAGTGAAGCACACGGGAAATAATCTGCAGAGGACAACGGAGCTGTCAGAGCTGTAAAAACCCTGTTGCCAAAGCAGAGGCAGCAATGATCCCTCTGAAAATGTTAAGTCAGAAGGAAATCACTAAAAAAATTGCTGGAGGACCTGGAGGGGAGATGCTATTTAAAGCTCTCTCTGCTGATGATAACACAAAAAAACAGAACCAGTCTATGAAATTTGTCAAAGACAAATTTAAGATGTGTCACCAGGCAAGAGGAGGACGAATTATTGAACAGTAAGACATGGATGACATGAAGGACTGGGAAAGCATCAGTGGGATATATTCTGCTGCTATGTACATATGACATGGTCCCCAGAACTAACACAAGGACTGCTGGAAAGGTCTCCCAGTACAGCAGATGGAAGCGAGGGAGGTGGAGAAGAGCCCTCCCCTTCCCCTCCAGGATAGTAAATGAGCAGCAGTACTTCTCATTGTTACATCTTTCAAAAGGCAAAGCCAGCACCTGGCCAGCATCTTGCACAGGTTTAGCTCACAAGGAAACAGAGTTAGCAAATACCAGAAGAAAAATAAAAGTGTTTCAAGTTTTAATGCCAAACATATTAATCATTTTTACAGTCAAAATAACTGCCATGAAGACACTGGAGATAAGGACTCCCTAGAGTTATTACTGGGCTCAATCAAAATCAGACCCTATAAAAAGTATGTGAGCATTTGCGTTATAGTGACTAAGAAGTGACTTGCAAATGCTTTTCCTTTTTAAAACGCACCCTCCAGTTTGAATGTCACAAACTGCTTCAGTCAATTACTGAGAAGGGGCTCGATCCTGTAAACTCATTAGTTCCTAATGCCTTTCTTTTTGTGCCTGTGACTTCAGTGGCTCAACTGAAATGCTTAAAGCTTCTCTCTGAGGTCAAACTTATGGACAGGAGCAAAAATCATGATTTTTTTATTTTCCCCCAAGGCTGATGTTTTCAAAACAGGAGCCTACAGCAAGTTTTGTAAGCCCACCTTTACACCACAAAGAGAATTCTCTCAAGAGCCTCACACCTGTGCCACAGGGCTTCTGATCTCCAGTGCTCAGGCCACAAGCAGATGAATACAAAATGCATCAGCTTGCTGGCCTATCTCTGCCAGCCCACCACATGCAAATCCCTCCTGGGGGCACCAGTACTGGGATGGCAAGGAAAAGGAAAAGGATACCTCGTGCCCAATTCAAAGAAAAGATGCTCAAGTGAGCAGGAAACCTGCCACCTCTGTTATTCCTCCACAAAGCACTTTAGTTTTCCCAGCCTGCAATAGCAGAATAACTGGGATGATCCGAAAATGCAGCTTAGGCTATTACTCCTTCATCTTGCATTTGAGATTTTCTGGTTTGAGCAGAAACAGGTGGAATCGAGCCTACTTAATCTTCCATAGCAAACTTGCACTTATGTTTTGTGTGGTGGGTGAACCCAAGCCTTTTAAGGTGCTTAAATCCCACCCTGTGGGATCTTAAATCCCTGTGGGATTTAAGAGGCACCCTCAGTGCCTCTGAGGAATGTCACTGAAGTTCAGGCCCTAGAGGACAACAGTGACAGTCTGCAGTTGAAGATGCTCATGGAAGCAGGAGAAACTCTCCACTTCACAGGAATTTTACAAACTGCCCTCTTCTGTGCACTGCAAACACTGCAGTTACTGAATAACTGTTTGGTCATTTTACAGTTCTGTGACATCACTAGAAAATGCCAACCCATCTGCTGTAAGGTGAAAATTAGGAACATGAGACACACTTTAAGGGAGGGTCAGGCTGAGGGGGTCTTACTAATTTAGTCACAGCCTCTGACAAACAGAAAGGGGCAGTGAGGGCTGGCAGAGGAGCCCTTCTGCAGGCCCTGCCTCACTCCAGCAGCCGCACTCCTTGTCTGGGGGCGCCTGTGGGCCTTGAGTTTGTTCATCTCAGTTAACAGGAGATTGTTTTAAGCCTGCTGATAACAGTCTCTCCCTCTGCCCCCTGCGGCAGCTCCTGAAGTTTACTGCCTGCTGAATAGGGAAGTGCTTGTTTAAAGGACACCCCCTCTAAATTTCACTGGGTTTCCCCCAGCTCTAACATGGTGGGTGCTGACAAACAGCTTATCCACTGAATTCCCAGTTACGAAAACCTCAACAATTCCTCCAGCAGCCTTCTCCGCTCCACACTAAAAAGCCCCAGGCACTTCAGACTCCCCCAAAGGGCAGCTGCTCTCTCCTACATCATCACTGCTACCCTTCTCTGACTGTGCCTAACACCATTAACAGCCTCCTTGAGGACACCAAGGTTGCAGAGGTCCCTGCCAGACCAGAAATATCCACGCACAGACCAGGCAACTCTCCTACAAGGGAGGATCAATCACTGGATCTTGTCCTGCCTCATGACCCCAAGCTGCTGCAGCAGCCCAGCACTGCCCCTCAGCTCCCCAGCACCCCACGTGTCAGATGCCACTGGTTGACCAGCACCAGCCCTGCCGACGAGCTGCGCTCAGGCCTGCAGAGTCACGGGCAAGAGGGAATCCTGTCCAGCAGGAAAGCACTCACCAGCTGCAGCAGCTGATAGCCCCAGATCTTCCCCCAACCATGTAGGAGGATGTTTCATACACACCCTGACCCTCGATACAGCACAGTGCTGTCTCATACATCAAGGGGACAAAAGACACTTGAGGCATCACCACATTCCCTCACGTGTCAAAGAAGCCCCTGCCCTGCCTGCTCCTGTGAGACCGACTGCACACAGCTGAGTGTCCACTGCCCGAGTGTTCCCTTCCCACCTCTGTTATTTCTTTACCAGCACCTGCTGGACCAAGTTGCTGACAGAGGATTTTCCATCACAATACAAACTACGCAGAGAGTCCTCACATTTGCACAAACATCAGACAACAGATTCACACAGACACTTGTTAACATCCACACTTTGTTGAGCACTTCCCAAAATGAATTTTAAATGAAATACTGAAATGAATACTGCAAATTGTGGCTTTTCTCAGACAGCCAAGTTTACACCAAAATTCTTCTTCAATAAGAGCTCTCCATTTAAACGGATATATTTCTTCAGTACCCATAAATGAACATATTCTCCTTTTGGATAGCATTATGCTTTAAATTAGTGTTGCATAAATACCGTTACCTTTTTTGGTGAAAAACTCCTTGGAATATTTCCCCAACATAGCGTATTTTCGAGGGATTTTTCCCAGCAGTTCAATGATCAATGCTATGTGGTCTGCATTGGAGAACATTGCCAGCAAAACAGAAACATACAACAGTTTAATCAGTACATTGCATGCACACACTAACACTGGCCCGGTACAGACAGAAATAGATTGATCCTGGTAAAAACCACACGTGCACACTGCTTGCTCAGTGGCTACTTTGGAAAGATCCTTTCAGCAAAAATTCCTTCTCAAAACAACGTTTGAGTATCAGCTGCCACAAACGAGTTTTGCCACGTAATTTAAAATGTACCAATAGTTATTTTTCAGAACACGTGGCTAAAAAAATAAAAAATTTGTCAGAGATTCCTGCGCATTTTGCTTTTCAAAAAGAAAATTTTGTCGTATGATTTCAGGAAATGCTCCTCACTGGGACGTGCTATAACCAGCAACAGCAATTCCACTTCTGTCTGCATCACGGCACCTTTCAAAAAGAAGAGGTACTACCTCTGCGATTGAAGAATTCCCGAGAATATTTTCCAGATAGAGCAAAGTGCCTTGGGATATTGCCTAGCAGCTCTATGATGTGTGCTATGTGGTCTATGAGGGAGAGAAAAAAAGGATACGGGAGTGGAAGGGGCAGGGAAAGGATGGGATAAAAAAGAAGAGGAAAGAAACTGGAATTAGTAAAAAATCAGAAATAGTTTCAAATCAACAATGTTTGCAGCAAATCCATGCAGAGGTTTCCAGGATCAGCAGAGCTCTGGCATCATTAGTAGCATTTAGGAACAATGAATGATGCCCACATTACCACTGCAAAGAGCATTTACAAGCAAACAAGCATGAAAATGGACAGGTATACAGATGGAAGCAGGAGTTAACTCTGATTTAAAAAAAAAAATTAGTAATTGCCTAATTCAAATAAGAATACACAATGTAAACATTATTCCACTGTCACTCTTATAAAGAGGAAATACTACCAAGTTCAAATTTGTCGTTTCTTTTCTAAACTAAAATGTTATTTTCAATCAGGTTTCCACACATATGCAGTCTTACAAGAAGGGCAGTTTAATTCCTTCAGGTAGTTGTTAAGTAGATGAATATCTGCAGAAGGGACTTTTTGCCCACCCATTGCTAGTGGTGGAACTTAAAACTAAAAAGAAAAAAAATCATATTTATATTCTGAAAACAATGTGTATGAACAGTTCTACTCAAACACAAAACTTAACCCCACTGTAAGCTCACTGGAAATTTAAGAAGAAGAGAATGAAAATATGTAGAAATTCTTACTGTGTCTCAAAAGATTCATACCTTCATCCCTGGAATAGTCTTCACCAGAGTGTGGTTCAAACAAATAATCTCCAGTTGCTAGTTCAAAAGCCTATAACATAACAGACATATTTATGGTATTTCAGAAATAATGTTTTTGATTGTAAGATGTCAGCAAAACATCACAACTGTCTCAGAACCCAGAGGGAATTAACATTCAAAGGTCAAGACTGAGGAGAGGGACCATCTTACCTGAGGACCATCATTCCTGCAGTGCAAGGACAGCAGGAACCTGGGCTCTGGAAAGCCCCACACTCAGCCTGGGGCTGGAGGCCCGGCAACATGTTCAACGTGGCTTTACATACTAATGTGTTCTCTGGTGGTCATGTTAAGATTGTGTGAGTTAATGAGGCTCAGAGGTACTTCTAAATATATAATAAGAGCTACACATGTATCTGAAGGCTCTTTACCTGTCAGACTGCACACTGGAGACTGAACTAAAAAAGTCTGAATCACAAATAAAATCCATTTATAGTTGTAATTAACCACCTGAAATAAGCGAACAGAGTAGGCTTCTTGGAAGACTCAAATTCTAGAAAAAAATTTTTTTTAAGTATTTTTGTTGAATCAGAAGTCATCAAAGTAAATACTGCAATAATGGGGTAAACAGTGAGACTGACACTGATGGGGAATCCAGAGCAGACAACATAACGTGATCCCTCGAGGCCATGGCAATGCTTCAATGGGATGAAAACCCTGTGCCATGGTACGGCAAACCTGAGTTTCTCTTTATGGGTGCAATGACTATGAAATGCCAAGAAGCACTGAAGCAACTATGAGAGCCCCTTGTGTAAAACATGAATTCCTCTAGTTTAATTTGTTAAACTATTCTCTTTCAGCTCTGGCTCAGCAATTGCCCAAGAAACTACAGGAATCTAATTTTTTCCAGGTGGTTTAAACACCAAAATATTTTCCACGTCCAAGACCCGGGAAAACATCTGATCCAGAAAACCATTCCAAAAATCAGGCAGAACTTCCTGGCACAGTTCTAGGATGGGATTTCATTTTGTTAGAACATTTACTACAAAATATCCGTCTCCTGAAAATAGACAGTTTTCTGTTGCAATTTATAATCTGGAGTTGTTAAATCACCTGTAAATTTAGCCTATTTATGGGTACTTGTCTTTTTCAAGCTGTGAACTGCAGTGTCATCCAAGTGGGCTACAGCCAACACAATTCACTGCAATCACACATAGCAGCCAAGAAAACAAGAACACTCCTTGATGACATTTCTGTTGATCATATGAATGGGCCTTTAATTTCTAAAGTCACTATCACTTAATAAACAGTCATTCCCTTTTTCTTTTATTCTACTCTTAGCTCAACATTGACAGTTTTCATTTTACAGCTGGAAAAAGTCTGAAGGACTTCATAAAATACCAGATTTCTAAACTGAAATAGATTTCAACAGTAGCCAGAAGAGACCACTGGGACAGACCCCAAACACAACACAGAGAACACTGTCATTCTCTTGAACATGAGACTGAGAAGATCCAAGGGTCCTCTCCATATCTCATGGACCAGCTTTCCTAGAACACATGCTGATGGGGCTGATTTCTGAGCACATTAAGAAACTCACTGCTGTAACAGATTCCCAGAGAAGAACAAAAATGTAGCTGAATTTAGCCACAAAGGTAGACTCCACAAGAATACAGTTTCTGTACCAAAAAATGACGTATTAATAGCTTGATATGTCTGCGTGGGACAAAAAAGATTAAAATGAAAAACTGTAAAAACTGTCCAGAGAGGAGCACAAGAATTAACATATCACTGTGCTACTCTGAATGTTAGATCAGTTTGTGCATCGCAAAAGCTGCAAACTCTCATAGGTTTGGGATATTTATACCACCCTCTCGCTGAAGAGAAACTAAAGGTTTTCAAAATGATGCTGCTTCTTTTTTCCATTTTGTGTATAGCTCTGACTATCCCAGGAAGGGCTGGAGCCACAGCACCTCATTACTTCCTGACTCTCTCTAAAGGACTCTGCACTGAGAACAAAAAAACTTCCAACTCAGATGCACACAGGGACAGCCTAGAGACAGGTGCTGGGATAAATATTTGTAATAATTCTTAGCATCCATGGAGGACAATGTCCCACAGTTTCATCTGTGGCAACCTGGTAACACGTTCCCAGATCTCTGTAGGATGGACTGGCCATGCAGCACAAGATAAATGAAATTAATTGAGCCTCATTTAGAAAAGAATAAAACCCAGATCTAGGTTTTTATCATAAAGAATCAGCATTAAAAATACACTAATAAACACATAAACAGCTGCAAGAAGGACAATGACACCTTTGGATTGTATCAGTCAGGGTTCTTCTGCTCTTTAAACCCACATCCAAATGCAAGGTGCACTGAAAAGCCCATCCCACTAGCGAGTCAGTGCCGCTGGAAGAGCAGCTCTCTGTCACTGGCTAATCAGAACCACAGTTTTGGCCATACTCTGCTGCTCTGGACTTCCTGGTCACTTCCAGTACTTACCCACGCTTTACACCCAGCTGTAGGTAATAAAACCACCCAGCCCCCATAAGGGAAGTCGCTGACACTCTGCAATGGCATCAGGAGGCCAAGACCCGCAGGGTGAGCACAGTGCTGTACGTCACAATCCTGTCACCAGCCCTGGGGGAAGGGACCACCCCTCTCCTCAGCTCTCACTTGTACCTGCAGACCTGTGACCAGTCTGGGGCCAACAGCATGAGGGTAAGCCTGTCAAACTGGAGAAAGGCCAGGGAAAACCTGGCCTTAGGTGTTCTGAGCAGAGGATATAGGATGGGAGGCTGGTGCAGCTGGGTTTGCTCAGGTTGGAGAAGGAGAGGAGGAGGGATTCAGTTGCTGCACTCCACTGCCTGGAGGCAGTAACACAGAAGACCAAGATACACTCTTCCCAATGAAAGGACAACAGGGAGGAAACAAGATCTGCGAGATGGGAAATTCCAATCAAATACAAGGAAAAAAAATTCTTTGGCAACACTGGCTGAGTACTGGGACAGGCTGCTCAGAAAGGCTGTGGAAATGCCATCCTGACAGGTATGTACCCCTGAACTGGACGAGGCTCTGAATTTCATCTGAATTTTCATCTCTGAAAATCATCTAATTTTCATGTCAATCCTGGTTCAAGAAAAAGGCACACTACTAGAAATCTCTTTAAACCTAAATTTGGCCGTATTTTTCATGATGCTACAAATACAGAGTAACCATAATTTACTTAGTTTCCCTTTGAAAGTATTAATTTATAAAAACTAGTTTCTTGACAGAAACTCCAACTTTGAAATACCATAATGTTTTTTCCTTAATGTTGACATTTACCTCAATAGAAGCCAGCATTTCATTTATTATATGGAGATATAAATTGAGATGCAGCACACTCAGCATATGCCACAGAAGCCCAAGGCAATCATCCATCCTTACTGACTGTACTCGCAATTCCCACTTACCACTTTCCTAAGGTTATCACAAAAAACCACTTAAACTGCTTTTCTCCATCTGCAGATGGAGAACCTTTCACAGAATTAGGCTCTGGAGAGGCTCTGTTTCTTTCCTGCCACACGATTGTATATGAACCTACCACACTACTGAACTGTTGGTATCACTACTGGATATTATGGAACCATGTCTAATCACACAATTGGAAATAGCTACATTTTCACTGTGTGACAGCTGTGTTCTCAATCTGGTCATTGAAAAATGGATGCATGCCTAGGGAAAGCTGTCTGGGAGAGGACTAGAAGAACAATTCACTTGGACTGCATCAGCTTCCCTGAACTGAAGCTCCAACTGAAAAAGGACAAGCTACAGGCCAGAATTATTGTTTTGACAGATGAGATCCGGCTCTTGGCCAGAGTTTCTCTGCCCCAGCTGAAATGAAGAAATGTGAATGAGATGACTGTAACTGCTTTAAAAATAGGCTTGGTTTTAAGAATGCTGTTCCACAGGTAAGTGGGAGCATGGAAAGAAGAGCAAAAAAGCTTTTTGAGACACGCACACCTCCTGACAGTTTGTTCTCCCATGGATATCTGAAGAGCTGGGCAATGGAAAGAATATGAAAGGTATTTTGCACAGTTAGTACTTGGTAAGAAAGGTCAGATATACAAAACAGAGACTTTCTTGGGATGCTTGGAAAGAAAACAGGGTTCTTTCATTTGCCATACTCCTATCTCAGAATCATGCACATCCCATGGAAAGTCAGCTTCTCTGGAAAATCATTTTCTGTTAAATGTTTCAGATTGTCCACCCACCACCCTCAAAAAGGGTGTACAGTGATTAATAACAGCATTCTGTACTGTATCTGCCTACTGAAAAATATGTGCATAACGACTTCAGGTTTTTCTCCTCTCAAACCCACATTTTTGATTTTCCATTTTTCCTCACACTACTGCCTCTGTGCAGGCTGAGGCTTGTCATCACACCTTTGGTATGTGCCACTCACAGATACTAGCATGATAATACTCATGATCCCATGGAGACATGATCATTTTTCCCTGCTTACAACACTATAAGAGTAGTTAAGGACAGTTACCTCTCCACCCCACGTTGGAGGACATCATGCAAAGAAGTAAATCAGGGACACGAGCTCCCAGTTACCTACAAGCACTTACACGTAGGTTTTATTTTGACATCCTAAGTTACTATATCATGCTAATTCTTCATTCTGTTCCTCCGAGTTCTCTCACATGAACAGAAATGCTCATACTAAAAACCCACCACTGTAAGCTTGCTTGCTTGTAGTAGCACCTCCCTCATTTTGAAAGCTCTTTGCCCATCCCCTTCCCTTCGCACTCAGTAGTGTTTTCTTTCATCATTTATATTCTCTTTGGGTAGATAAAACACCAAGTACAATTTTCACCTTCCCTGACTTCCTGCTGATCTGCAGCTATGATCTATTTGCTAGTTCTTATTGTAAAAACAAGATGCTGCAGGAATCACAACTCTCCAGAAAAGCCACCTCAGAAAAGTGTTAAAAACATATCTTGTTCATGTCCCAGCTTGTGATAAAGTCATCTCCTCCCTGCAGCTGCAACAAGAGCGCACATAATGAACAACAAAAGTCATGATGAGACTCATCACTTCAGGTGTTTTTCCTGTCTCAAATCCAGAGCATAAACAAGGAAAAGTGGTAGAATCGTGGTGCTTGCAGTCATTTCCAGGAGCAATACAAAGGGATGCCGTCTGCCAGTACCAACTCCCTCATCTTGCCAGGATTTCTTGGCAGCAGCAGTGGCGTACTGTGTTCCACGTTTTCTGGGATTTAGGAAATGCTAAATCATGCAGTGTCTGTTCAGTTTCTGCTCTACAGAAAGCAACCCTCTCAATACTGCAAATGTGGAAATGCAGCCTGATAAAATTAAATCATCAAGAGTGGTTTCAATCCTGTCAAAGGTACTGCTGGCTCCAAATCTATTCCTTTTTTGGGGTGAAACTGAGAGATGCACCTCCCCATTGGCACAATTAAATTAAGGCTTAGTACAGTAAGGGAACATTTTCTGGAATTCAATAAATATGGAGAGTGAATCCCATATCTAGCTGTGTCTAGCTTTCCATGAGAGCATCTGGATATTCCACTTAAACAGGCCACATTGTCAGAAGAAAAATACAAGAGCACCTTACAATTTCCCTAGCAAAATTTATAAACATCCAGAAAATGACAGCAACAATCACTCCGCCTGAGGTCACCAAAGTCTAGGGAAAAAAAATATATGTTACACTTTTTTGCATGCTTTGCTGAGCGCAGAACAAGTGAACAACTCCATCGTGGTCTGGAAAAGCCCACTGACATCCAACCTCCTTCATTAGTTCCCCAGCACTTTGTGCATGCACTGATTATAAGCTCCCAAAGATACACATCATTCTCTTTTTTTCCCCTTCCTTTTTATTTAGTTTTTCTTAAAGACTGTGAGACTCAGGTCACCTGAGCACAGGACTGGTACTGGCCTGGGGATACTCATGCTCATCCTTTAAATCTGATCTGAAGAAGTCAGGGGTACAAGAACTGGGCCACGTCAAACCATCTCAAATTAGAAGATTCAGCTCAGAGGCTGCTGGCTTACAATGCTGCTTATTTCACTGACATAACATCAAAGAAACAGCACTGTAAGGTTATTAGCACTGAGTTATTTTGCCCTCTTCTGCTATTTGGGTGGAGTCGTTAACATGTCCCTGATTAAGTCTGCTTCCAGCACAAGTAATCCTGACCAGAAACTCTGGCTACTCACACACTGAAGACAGTACAAGTAAAACAGACTGTTCTTTCCTGGAAGCTGTACTGAAACCACAGAGTTCATGCCTAGGCAAAGCCAACCCATACCAGCAGAGGCCAGGTAAGGAACCCTCTACACACAGACGTGACATAACATGTCCCAAAAGCAAGATTCATAAGGGGGTTTTCTGGAAGCTGCTGTGCACACAGGAATACAGATGTTTTGCATGCCTAAGGTCCATTTATCAGAGGCTTTTGTTTAAAAACATCATTTCCATCCTCATTACTAAAGATAATGTAAAACTGATGAGCAAATGGTATGATGAAAAAAAGACAGTCTGCTGCTGCTGTGGTAAAACACAACCTCTGAGCTTGCCTTAACACACTTTATGCCATAAAGCCAACACAAGAACCAGTAGCTTTGCTTCTCTTCGTCAATGCTATTCTCAGTGAGCAAGACTATTTCATCAGCAAGCACAAGGCAGCGAAAACCTGAGGCTCATATGGAGATCCATAAAGCACAAGACCAAGTTAAGATCCCAGGTGAATCCTGGTACCACGCATTCCACGTCCTCCATCATAAAATCCAAGATACATAAAAAGATTGATGTTTTTTACATACACATAAATCTCTGACACAGAAACCCTAGGGACACTAAATTTATTATATTCCTGGACCACTCATTTTGCATAGTACTGCTTCCAAAAATGCCCTTAATGACTCTGGACTTGTACAAGCATCGAAACATGACTAAGTCATCTCTTTGTTCCCCTTTGACAGTCTCGGACAACATGGCTAATCGGGTATCTGAGCTGTATTTTGGGTGAAAATAAACACCTCCTGGTCCAGCAGACAATTCTTCTGAAAACACACTTAACAGTAAAAATTATGGAACAAAGTGAATTAAGTATGAAAAAGCACAGTAACCTCAAAGGGCATATTAAGCAGGTACTACAAGGAAACCAAATCTGAGAAAGCAAGTTTGTAGTGGCATTAAAACACTTTGGTACTTCACAGTTCTTGACTGCTCTAGGGATTAGGGAGATTAAAATCATAATTTCCAAACACAGCCTAAATAAGTTATTTGGGAGTTTGCAGTTCCACATCAAGAATGTTTCCCTGGCTGTTAATCTCTGTTACAAGTCCTCTGCAGAAAGAGTTATTAAGGTCTTCAAGGCAATCCCTACCTCAGAGTTGTTTTCCATCTGATGCAGGATCAGTGTTCACAGTGCTCTGACCCATTTTCTCAGCCACACAGGAAGGAAAGTAGATTCTGGGGGGTTTCTAACGACGAATTTTTTCGGTGAGCTCGAGAGCCTGCTCTCTGTTTTTCACACAACTATACAATGATGACAACTGAATTCAACAACTCTGTCAGTGCTGTAAGTGTATAAAATTTCTACTGCATTTTTTAAGGGGAAAAACCCCAAAGTCTATGGTAGAAGACAGAATTAAAGCACTTCTGTCTCAAATGCCCTGCTATCTCTAAAACCTACATAACACAAAAACAGAAATATAATTTCCCGATTAAAATATTTCATATGTAATTGTGAATCTGAGGTAAGATACCTCCAGGGGCAATGACGCTTTAGGCTTTTTTTCCCTGAGTTTGAAGAAAGCAGTAATGCTTATATAACATGGAAGAGAAAGTGTAAGAGGCTGGGCAATCCCAGGTATTTTAAGAATATTTTATTCCCCGGGTACGACATTGCTATTAAATACCCCACAATCCTAGACATATTTCAGCCTTCTTTATACTGTCTTTAGCTACAACACTGTACATAAAATTAGCAAGGGCAGGTACAATCCTAAAGAAACATGAATATAGGGTATAATACCATAAAAGGTTATCAGTTAACTGAGGTTTACAAAATATCAGGTAATAGGAACAAAAGACTCTTTAATGATTTTGTAGTTAGTTAAGAGAAGAATCATAAAGGAAAAAAACTGTGGAATATTTTCTGTGCTTTGTTTTCAATGTAATAAAAAACTTGCACATTTTGTCCCCAAATGGAAGAGTAATTTTGGAAATGGATCTTTTTTTCTGTATACTAAAGCAAAAGCTAGTATTCGACTCCAGAGAAAACATACTTTAATTTCACTTAGGGGTTAGTTACTTCCAACACATGGCCTGCTGAGTTTATAATATGTAGGATTTTATGTTCCTTTCAATCCTCCTCCTCCTCTCTCTCTGAGCTGTGCAATTCTTCTCATCACCCACGCCTGCAAACTGTGTCTAGTATTTGAGCCTCCTCCTCCTCCTCACACTCTTACTCTTTTCAGACATGTATTTGTAAAATATAAAGATTTGATTAAGTTTTCACTTTTAAAATAGACAAAGGTATTTTTAATGCATTTTTTTGGAAATACACACTAGCTTTAACGAGAAGATGCATGTAGTTTGTTTGTCCTCAACTACAAACAAGAGTGTTTCAAAAAGCTGCACGATTAAGTTTTCACTTTTTCTGCTCTCTAAAGATTTTTAAAAATCTGTCATTTCAGTTCCCATATTAAAACTAATTCTACAGAAAGTTACCACATATTTTACACTAATAAACTAAATTCCTTCTCTTCAAAGTTTAGAACTTGAAGCTGTGACTTGCAAGCCTGATCTGATCCATGTTTTCACTACACTTGGCAAGAATTTAAAGTATTTCACTGTTTTGCCACTTTACACAAGAGAAAAGAATGTAAACACAGCAAACAGTAGCACAGATTCTAAGACTGGAAGGAAATATGCAGTTGTACTATTTCAGTTACATTTTGTCATTTAAAATACACATATATTTCCCTCTAAACTTGCATGTTTTTGACTACCAGTTTAAAATGCATCACACGAAAATTAGGAATGTTCTCAAAAATACTTCCTTTTGATTAAGAAGGCTTGAGAAATTGAGATAAAGGGAAGAAATCATCAGTAGCTACCTGATACAACGTAATTCATGATAATGTATTTGTGTCAAAATGTCAAAAGCATCCCCATCAGGTTTCCCCACTAAATAAACCAGGTTTTAGGAGGTTTAGTCTCGTAAAGTACACATTGTATTGTTCTTACCATACATGCTGTACTCCAGATATCAGCAGGTGTACTGTAACCTGCTCCTATTAAAACCTCTATGGATCTATATTGTCTTGTCTGGATGTCTTCTGTGAAGTGTTTGTGCTAAAACAGAAAGAACCACATTAATGGAAAAAAAGGATAATAAAAAGAGCTGTTCTAAACAGGGAACAGCTAAAGGGATGTAGTTACACTCACCACCCAGCAGGCATTTCCCAGGTCAGCAATTTTAACTCTAATTTTATCTGCATTTCTTGGGTCCAGTGGATTCACCAGTAAGTCAGCAGCACGAGTTTTTGCTAACACAAGTAAAATGCAGAATAGTTAATATTCTGAGTGTACAATTCATTATCTCTAAGCAGTTCTGCCTTTACATTTCACCCAGTGTTGTCATACACTGAGACATCAAAATAATTTGCTGAATGTTCCAAGAAATTAAAGCAAAATAAATAGGATTTCTTACCTTGATTTCTAAATATCCTTATACACTTCAAATGCACATTTTTTGCATTCTTTAACTGCCAAACAACTATTATTAGAATATCCAGAGTAGCTTCTAAGCAAAACCAGTGCATATTCAGACAGAATTCAGACGGAAAATGTTAAAACTCAGACTCCAAGAACTCCACATGAAAAGATATATTCTTGGAACAGTTTGGTTAAGAAAATAAACCCTGCACTTCCATGCCTGGCTAGGGTAAATAAAATTTGGCTCGATTTTTTCTTTTTTTTTTTTTTTTTTAATCTGCCTCAAGGGGAAAAGACCCACCAAAACCTGGCTGCTTTGAGAGCCTGGGGACTGTCACCCTTTTCACAATTAACTCAGCAGTGAATCAAAGTTCTCTGAAGGTCCTGTCTGCATCAAGTATGATCCAGACTGAAAAGGTAGAACTTCAACAGAATTAATCTTGGCTCCTGGGACACTGACAACCTCTACACAGATCAGTGGAGGTGCTGCTTCTCTTTGTTTTGACACACCACCTGCTAGTTCCTAAACTGCATTGGAAAGAAAGCAGATGACTTGACTGTGGAAGACAGAACCAGGTATCACAAACCACAGAGCAGCACAGATCTGGTCTCAGTTTCCTTGTCCCTGAGCTACAAAGACTAAATTGGAAATCAATGGTAAGATAAGAAAGAGGTACAAGATCCAAAAAGCACTTGTGATTCTAATGATCTGTTAAATTGGTGTAAGAATTCGACAAGGAAAATATACAAGACAATGAGAAAAAACACTGGATGTCGTAATGGGGAGTCAGGAGTGACTGAAATCAGGTGAGGATCTTCAACTGCTGATACAGGAAACCTGAACTGGTCATCAGAGCACTGAATACTGGCCAACCAGAAAAGAAAGTGGCAGGGTCCCCCAGGGGAGAGAAGGAATGAAAATACAGAACTACATTGCAGAAGACAGAAGGGGTAATGACCTCAACAAATAGTCCTCTAAAAAAGCTGGAATGGAATCCCAGACTCGAGTTTATAAAAAGCACCAGCATAAGGCATAGAAGTAAAATACTGAAAAGGAACTCATAAGACTAGTGAACTTAATATTAAAGTCTTCCCTTACAAGAATGCTGCATAGTGCAGTCTAATTTTTTTTAACACAATCACATGCATTAGTCAAGAAATAACAGGACTTTTCTCAGTTCAGTAGTCTTCGGAAAAAAAAAAAGAAAAAAAAAAGACAGTGCTAGATAAATCCTTCCCACATCTTGCTGAAGGTGAAGGACTGCAGTAAATAAAGTGGAAAGGGGAGAAAAAGCCTCATGAGTAGAATATCTGAATATGACATTAGAGAACAGCTTTCTTCAACTTTCTTCTAATAGAGCAGGCAATAGGCAAGTGCCTATACTTTTGTGTTTTTCTTAGGAACATATGATGTTTATGTCCTGTATCTTCTGAGAGATGAATTCTTGGATCCTGAATTTGACAAACACAGATCATTCACAACTGAAAGTGAAGTCAGAAGGAATACACCTTTTAGTAAGTATTTGCAAAAAAGCATTCAAAGAAGCTTAAACTAAGCACAAAATAAGCGAGCACTTCTGTGTCCTAATTCTGTAAAACCTAAGAAATATCACCTTAATTCTCACAGTCTCAGCATGACAGTGTACTTACTTAGTAAACATTCAAACACTGGAAGGAGGAGGAGAGTAATGAGGAAATTACAGATCTATCTTCAGGGCATTTGGCCATGCAGTGAAAACTTTAAAAGGATAAAACCTGCTCACCCACTGAACATAACTTGGTCTGTGCACCAAATGAGGTAAGTACCCCAAAAAAATGAGACCATGCCACTTACTAATGTATAGCAATGCCTAGACACTAATTAAGTCTACTTCAGTACAAGAAAAGGGCACTAAAGTGAAAAAGTAGCACCATTTAAAAATACTGAATAGCGTGCAACTCTTGCATGTTTCTTCTTTCTAAATACTTCATATGCTTTATTACTGTTTATTATTATTGATATCACTAATATTCATAACATTCAGCTTTTCCTCTTTCTGCAGAAGAAGTGAGCTATCACTGAATTTACTGTCTTTACTCTTTCTTTGCATGAAAGGTGTGTGAACTGATGAGGTAACATCAAGGAGGAATAAAGTAGGTTTATTTCTCCAGCTATGGAGATAAGCTGCTTCCATGATGACAAAACTAGCTTTACGCCCTGGAGGCATGAGGATTTTACACATCACCCCAGGAAAACAGCAGTAGAGTCTTTCTGCCTTTATACAGCTAGCAGAACAAATGAAGAAACTACTAGGCATCCAGGAATCTCCCGTATATTGTTCCAGGGACTTCAGAGTGTAAGGAGATGGACTGGAAGCCTCATTTTCCAGGATCTTAGCATATTCCAGAAATACAGCTCTGTTCAGTTGTATTTTATTTCACATTTCTTACCTTATCTGTCTGACTCTGTAATAAATTGTGTGAACTGCTCTCATAAAGTCTTAAACCAAGAAATACACTTGGCTGCATTTTTCAACACGGTTCTATTTAAATTTAGTAAGTTCATCTGTAACAATGCTAATGGCAGGCTTGGTGACCTTCTCCCTAAGCTCTCTCATTTTCTTCTATCTGCTTACAGATTTAGTCTCTCAATATTTTCTTTATTGAAGCTGAAACCCATATATTTATGATTTAGCCAAGGGCACTATAAATAAGACCTATGTGTAATACCCTGAAGCTATTTAATTCAATGGCAAAAATCCAGCTCTTTACAATGACACCTTCCATGTCTTCAAATAAACAGGATTTACAGGCAAAAGCTTTGGATCGGAGCAGTTCTGATGGCCAGAATTTAGATGTCCAAACAGAGGCTGAATCCAGAAAAGTCATAATGAGTTGATGGTTGGCAACATGCCCTGACGAGTTTTAAAAGGTTAAGAGAGGAACTGTTTGACACAGAAAGAACCACTAATGAATGAAAACACAGCATATTACAGAATTTTTCAATATGACTGAGAAAAGATGTGACAAAAAGTAACAGATAGAAGCTGCAGCCAGACAAATTCAAACTTGCTACAACTCTCCTGAAACAAGTCAGAGTACCAAGCAGTGGAACACACTTCAGCCACACTAGATTGTTTATAATTTCATCTGTCCAAATCAAAAGCAGGTATTTCTTTGAAAAATATGTTTTAAGCCAAACATAAGGGTTACTGGGCTTAACAGACGGTATATTACTGACTTGTTATAAAAGCAAGTCAGGTTACATGATCTTATGATCACCTACTACCTTTAAACTACGGGAATGATGTTTATTGGCAACTGTCAATTTCGTTCTCTCTTTCCTGTATAGACTGACTTGTCAATGCAAATATTTTATCTATAATAATCTACCTATATTTAAAAACAAGTTCTAGAGGAGAGAAAAACCATAAATCACAGTTCTGCAAGAAAAATCATCCAGTTTACTTAAATAATTTTTTCTTAACCTAACCACTGTCTTTGTGTTCCACTTATCTGACTGTTTAATGTAACGTAACACACTCATGCTACTAGACAGAAGTCACTTAGAGGAACACTTACTTTTTGGCAAATCCCCCGTGCTTGAAGCTGAAACTGTTCTGCTCCTGTCATGAGATGGGCTGCTCTCCTCTCTCTCTGTCACAGTTGATCCTTCAGAAACAGCAGAACCACAAGCTACAGACTCTAGAGCCCCAGAGAACACTGAAGCTGAAAATTCAGAGAACTGTGATTCTGGTATTTTATGACGTCCATTTGGCAATTCACCATTAAACTGTTCATAGGAGCTGCTATAAGAGTAATCACTTTTTGCATTTGGCTCATCAAGATTATACTCCTCTGGATTTGGACATTCTTCCTCTTCCTCATCTTCATCTTCAATCTGTTGTTCCAATAGGAATGGGCCGTTCACAATATGGCCATTTGTTTTGGGGGATTCTATCCACTTAGGGTCTGTAGAGTCAGTGTTGACAAGATCCTGCTCAACGTCGTCATCCTTTTCAGTGTTTTCCTTCTCTGTGTCTTCTTTTTCATCCTGATCTTCTGTTTCACCTGAAAAATTTCAGTGAGCAACACATTAGATAGTACATCAATAAACCAGATTGAAATCAGGCATTCACCATTTTTAACTCTTCAGTAACTACTTGACTTCTGACATATCATACAAGGAAACACTGAATATCACTGAAACACATAAAGACCTTAAAATCTAAACTAAAGGCAAAAGAAAGAACTAATAAAGCTGCTGGAAAAATTGAGACTGGAAACTCGCTCAGGAGGAAACAATTCAGAAAAGAATAACGTTATGAAGAGAAATGTATGAGACCTTGAAAGCAAGCTTTATAAATCTAGAACTCAACCTGTGTCAATCATGGAGTCATCAGAGAAGTAGGAAAACTCTCAGTAAGAGAAGAACAAAACCAAACCAAACTGAACTACAACCTCAGTAGTTAAATCTTCATCAGGACTGAAGAGCTGACAAAAAAATGAGGGAAGCCAGAATGGAGCTGGACTGTAACAATTATGGTCCAACTCACCATGACTAAACAGGAATTTTAACAAGACATCTCAAAAATTTTAGTTAAGAAGCTGCAATCATTACTACCTCATAGATCATTCAAACAAACAATGCAAGAAGAAAAGGGGAAAGCAACAATGATTCCAACTACTACATTAATGTTATAGAACACAATGCATCCTATTTTTCTTCTCCCTCACCAGGATATGCAGTTATTCCATTCAATGGGGTATGACAAATGACTGTTCTGTCAAATTTTCTACGTGTTCTTTTGTGGTATTTGATAGCTACAGACTGCTATTGATGGTTTTCTTCACTCCTACAGAAAATTTGATTTTTCTTTATCTTTTTAGGTTTTGTAGTTACAATTTTACCTACAGGAGAAAATTAAACAATGATCTAAGACAGTTTGAAAATTTTGTTCTTAGCACCAGATACAATACTGCACAATTACTTTCCAGTCTGAAATGGTAAAACTCAGGGTCAATAAAAGCAGGTAATACTAACCATCATCATTTCCAGGTTCTTCATCGACTACCTCTTCTATATCAGCTGTTTTTAGTTTCACCTCTGGGTGGTACTCATCTTCTTGTTCATTTGATGGTACAGCTGAGGTTACATTTTCTTCTATTTTTTTCCTTTCCGCTTCCCGCTCTAGTTCTTCTATTTCCTGCAGGCGTTTTTCTAGCAGCTCAGCTTGTCTCTTCTGTTTTTTCTTCAGCTTTTTCTTTTTGTTTTTGGATATTTTTCCAACCTTAAATATTAATTAAAAAAAATCTTATCAATTATTCTCAAGGCATCTCAAACCAAACTCACCTGCAGTATGATTACTGCAGCATGATTTTTTTTGAAAATACTAGATAGCAATTAATTTAGTAATTATACCACTTTTTCCATTTTACTTCAAATCAGGAATGATTAGGGTTATATGAGGCAAAAAGCCACCAAAATTTTACATAATTTATCATGTTTTTACATGGTTGTTTATTAGCTACATGAGCAAAATACATCTAAGATGCCACAGTAAAATTCCTATGATCCTATAACCTCAAATAGGCATAATAATCTTAAATGTCAATCTAGATTAAGATACGATACTGTATGTGGAAGATTATCTGCCATCATATTAGTTATTTGCATATAGATTTAATACATAACTTCTCTCTCTGTACAATGTAGGTAATGACCAGCAAAAGAATGCTGAGAAAAAAGGCACATGAAAGCTAAAGAGACTGAAAACAGTGAAAAATTTTAAACAAATCCTGTGTTGTTCAGCTATTTCCCTGTGAAAGGAAAGCATTTCTATTATTCCCTTCTGGCCCCAAACACATGAGTCACAAACAACAGATGGCCATTCTGAAGTTTCACATTTTATATAACATAAGGATTGAAAAACTCAGGTACGACAACAAGGAAATGAAAAATTAACACATCTGAGCTAGAACTGAAACACTTTCTTACATTTTAACTTAATTGTGACTTCTGTTTTTACTATTGATAAATGAGATGTATCCAGTTTTCATTCACTGTCAAGATATCACAGCAAGAAATGCTCACATAATTATTTTCTCAAAGGTTTATCTGTAGATCCTGTTATCTTCAAAAGAAGCCATGGGATAGTCAAAATAAGACAATTAATTTGACAGTTCTGTTAATTTTCATCCATGTTGTATGCCCACTGAAATTATGTATGTTCTGTACACACAGAAAGCAGGTTTGACCATAAATATTTCTAAACAGCTGTATTACCATTAGTTATTTGCTATATGCATATGGCAAAAAGATCTTTCAAACCTCATAAAACTCCCTCTCTTTTAAGGCCCCGATGATTAAGGCCTTGATGCCCTGAAGCTATCTGCAATGCATGATATTTAGTGCATGCACCCATATTTGTCAGGATTTGAACGAATGGATTATTCCTCAAGAGATGAAAAAGGCAATGCTTAACTTCCTTTGACACAGCTATAGAACTGCATGTCTGTGAGAGTTTCCATCAGAGAAATACTGTGCTTAAAACTGGTAAGGCCAAAGACATGAAAAGAAAAATGTTCTTTGAAAGATAAAAGCTTTATTCAAAGGCAGCCTTTAAAAAAGGTAGACACTACTAACAGTCTAATAACTATTAATACCAGCAGACACACAGAAAATAAGATAGTTAATATGAATTATATAACAATACTTACAGGCTTTTGTTGTGGAGCTGTACTCACTAAAAAGAAAAAAAAAATAAATAAAATAGATATATTTTTACAAAAACAACTCTTTAATGGAAGCAAAAAGCAGTAGAAATCATGTAAAAATATTCTTAAATTAGTAAGGCAGTGATTTTTTTGTTAGCTAGATTTTTTTACTCTTTACAAGTGTTGACTGAAATCATTTGATGTCTCCACTAGAGCACCTGGAACTGGAAGGAGCTGGCAGCAATTTGTGTTTAATGTGTTGTGGTTGGTGGAGAGTTTATGAAAGTCAGAAAGGAAAGTCTGAATCTGTAAAGAATGGACAGAAAACATCAAATGACTGCAGAGTTGTCACAGATTAAATGTATGTAGTCAGCTGACTGAGCAGGTATAGGCACATTTAAACAGTTCAGGGAATATCAGCAAAGATACAACTGTGGTGTATTCAACAGAAAAGCCAAATATTCATGTTTCCTTTATTCTGAAACAAGGTAGTTTGACTGCTAGGGCTGGAGGCAATAAGAAGTGCCTAAGGCAAAAAGTACATCACAGAAAAAGCACCTCCAGCAGGGCCTCTTCCTAAGCACCTCTGAGAAGGATCCCATCAGTGACTAGGTCTGATGAGATTACAATACTGACTGTGAAAACTGCAAGCCACATAAAACATCCCACCAATAACCAAAACCAGTAGAAATAACCTAATATGGGAGACAGAATCAAAGTGGAAGTGAGAAAGAGGAAGTAAACAGGGCAGAAGAACCTCTCATGAACTTCTTCAGGCAACAGGCATACAGCAATTAACGAACACAAAATAAACCACAGAGACGGAGTTATTTTATAGGTTCAGATTCTGAGTGAGTTTGGGAAAAACCTGCTTGTGTGCCCCTGAAAGGGCAAGGTTTTCAAAAATATTCTTAAACCTGAGCACTATCACTGCTATAAGAAGAGAAATTATGCAGAATCTCTTCTTGGAAATGCTGTCAAGAAAACACATCTTCAGCTCCTGTGTGGAAAGCCATATATTTAATTACAATTTTATAAGAACAAAGTGTGATAAGAACCCCATCAGTTCCTTAAAGTACTATTTATTTTAATGTCAGCAAGAAATATAAAGGCTGCATGAACAAAATCAAGCTACTTCCCACACAAATAACACATAATCTTTAGCTATGTGATTACACATTATGTAAAATTCAATACAATGTACTCACAAGTTATAAGATTTTGCATCTAAAAATGTATAATGCTGTGAAATGCATTTTGACCACTGTATTTGTCCCTGATACAGCAGGCATTTTTATTATACCTCAGAGATTTTAATCTGTGATATATTTTCTGACAATATTACATAGGTAATAATTTCTCCACTGCCTAAAACTGATGTGCTCAACTGGCAAATTAATAGCAACCATAGTACCAAAGATCACCAGAAAAGCCACATTTCCTCCCTGTTAATCTTTACTGATTGCTGTGAACCTCTTCACCTTGGTTTCTCCTAGCTAAACGTAATGTACAGTTCCTATCCAAACTCTTGGCAGGTTCAACATGGAACATTTTACACCCCTAGGAAGAAGGGCGTATCACGAGTTCAGTTAGGTACAATACATTCCATTTTCAAGGGTGAAAAACTACGAATCTAAAACTTTTTAAATGCCTCTTGAGAATCAGTTATAACTGACAAGAAGGCAGATAATTTCAACAAGGACGCTGATGAACTTGGAATTAGACATAATTTAGATAAGATTATTAATTATTGTCAATATTAGAGATGCAAGCTTCCAGTGTGACTAAAACCCAGGCATTAAAGTGTGTGGGGTGGGAGAGTAAGTTTATACCAATAAATCTTTTTCTGTATCTGGGGACCCAGAGAACTTGAATGTGCAAAACCAGGAAGAAAGTATTTCTCTGATGGTTTCCAGAGCAGGAAAAAGAATTAACCAGACATTCATTTTTCTCATGCCATTACTTAAAATGTTGATTTTCATTGAAGAAAATACTATTAGCAGTAATATACTGATGGAACTTTACTACACTGCATTTAAATACACTGTCTTACCTGCTGAGCCAGAGGGGGGAGGAGCACCAGCTTTCTGCCACTCAGTAGCCTCAGCAGCCATTCTACGCACATAGGCATCATCCACACACATCAAAATATTTTCTGGCTTTATATCCGTATGAATGATCTTGCACTTGCTGTGGAGGTAATCTAGACCTTGAAGTACCTAATTACAAAAGCATTTTAAAAAAACCTGCTTGAAACTGCAATTAAATTTCTTATTAAGAAACTCAACTCTTATCTGCATTTTAAAATAAAGCTAGTTTTATCCCAATGCTCAAAAGTACTCAAAAATTAGAAGAAAGATATTTCCAGATCACAGTGTAAAAACGTAATTTTCCATTGTACCATAGAATTATAGAACTTTCTGAAACAAAATTGTTTGAGGCACAGTAACACCAGTGCAATAACTGAATTGTTTCATATTCAACTTTCATAAATCAGTTTTCAGAACGTGCACAGCACACATTTTGTCCAAGTAGAAGAAAGAATAAGTATCTAGATTATCCTTACTGACCTGGAAGTCTTACCAGACAATGCCACTCTCATTACTCCAAACTGTTAATTCCAATCTCACAAAAATTGAAGCTTTTTAATCTCCCAGGACTAAGCTGTTCCTCTTTTCTCAGGTATGAAGTGACTGAATTACTTGTAACTTTCACCTTTTCTTACATTCACAGAGCAATTCAGGTTGGAAGACTGTGTGACCCAAACCCTCACCATTTAAGCCATACAGCTTCAAAATTGTATTTAATCTCAAAATCAGACCAGCTTGCTCAGAGTCTTTATCCAGGTCATTTCCAACTACCTCCCAAAATGCAGATAGCATAACACTGTAGTTCTAATGCCTGACTATCCTCACTACAAAGAATTTCTTCCTACTACGTAATCAGAATTTCTCTTTCTGTAACTCATAAACACTGCTTCTTGTCTTATCTCTGTGTATTGACAAGAGAAGTCTAGCTCCATTTTCTCTATCTGTGCTGCAGAGATGAAAAGCTTCCCCCTTTACTAGCCTTTTCTTCTTAAAACCAGCCAAACCAGTTCTCCCAACACCTTTCATTCATCATATGCTGCTCGCCCTCTTTGTTGCCTTTCAATAAACTCACTTCATTAGGCCAATGTCTTACACTTTGAACCCAAAACTGTACTGAGTCCTAAAGAACTGAAACAGATTCCTTATTCTGCCGCCTACAATCCTGCTAATTTGGTCTACTACATGGTTAGCTCTGGCCACCACAGGAGCCCACCACTGACTCACATTCAGCTTTTCTCCCACAACCCCTCACGCCAAGCTTGGCATCCAGTCTTCACATTTTCAAGTTGTTTATTCTTATTCATAACCAGTCCAGCAAGGTGCATCTCCGTCTTGTTTCCCTGTTGATACACAGCTCACCCCATGCTACAAAGTTGTCCTCTACGCACTCCAGAAACTTCCTTGAGTGCATGTACCCCACAGAGCAGACATCAGGGTGGTTAAAAGTAGCCCGAAAGAACTAGCTTATTCCAGTTGTCTGAAGATGCTTATCATCCACTTCTGAAACTGGCAGCCTGTAGGAGATACATACCAGGATGTCACCCTTTTTGGACTCCTCTCTGACCCTGGCCCATTCTACAGCAGATTTAAGCATTTAAGCTCACGAAGGAGGGCTAAGGAGAATCTCCATCCTTTTTGGGATGCGGGGGGAAAAAACAGTGACATCAGATGAGGAAAAGGCTGAGGTACTTCATGCTTTCTTTCCCTTGTCCTTCAATAGTCAGATCAGTTGTTCTCTGGGGACCCAGCCCCCTCAGCTGGGACACAGGGACAGGGAGAAGAACAAAGCCCTTGTAATCCAAGGTGAAATGCTAAACCCCTAGGCACACACAAGTCTAAAAGGTCAGATGGGATTCACCAAAGCGTACCAGGCTCATTGGCTTGGAGGGGTGCACTGTTTCCTGGGTAAAACTGTGGATGGATGGATGGGCCCACAGAGTAGTGGTGGTGGTGGACCAGCTGATGGCTGGTCACCAGTAGTGTTTCCCAGGGTTTCATGTTGGGACGGTCCTGTTTAATATCTTCATCAATGACCTGGAGGAGGGGACTGAGTGCACACTCAGTCAGACCGCAGATGACACCAAGTTGGGGGAGCATGCTGATCTGCTGGAGGGCAGGAAGGCTCTGCAGAAGGATCTGGACAGGCTGGATCAATGGGGCGAGGCCAGCTGAGTGAGGTTCAACAAGGCCAAGTGCTGGGTCCTGCACTTCAGTCACAACCACCTCCTGCAGTGCTACAGGCTGGGGGCAGAGTGGAAAGGACCTTGGGATGCTGGTTGACAGATGGCTGAACATGAGCCAGCAGTGTGTCCAAGATGGCCAGTGGCATCCTGGCCTGTATCAGCAATAGTGTGGCCAGCTGGACCAGGGCAGTGATTGTCCCTCTGTACTTGGCACTAGTGAGACCACACCTGAACTCCTGGATTCAGTTCTGGGCCCCTCACTACAAGAAAGGCACTGAAGTGCTTGAAGTGTGTCCAGAGAAGGGCAGTGGAGTTAATGAAAGGTTTGGAGCACAAGTGTGATGAAGAGCAGCTGAAGGAGGTGAAAACTGTAAAAAAAGGAGGCTAAGGAGGAACTTTATTGCTCTCTGTAACTCCTTGAAAGGAGGTTGTATCTAGGTGAGGGTCAGTCTCTTCTCCCAGGTAACAAGCAGTAAGACCAGAAAAAATGTCCTTGATTTGAGCAAGAGGAAGTTCAAATTAGATATTAGGAAAAATTTCTTCACTGAAAGGGTTGTCAAGCATTGGAACAGGCTGCCCAGCAAAGTGGTGGAATCACCATTCTTGGAGGTATTTAAAACATGTGTAGATGTGGCATTTGGGGACATGGTTTAGTTGTGGACTTGGCAGTGCTGGGTTAACAGCTGGAATCGATGATCTTCAAGTCTTTTCCAACCTAGACGACTCTATGACATATGCTTTTTCCTTGCTGAAACACTATTTCTCCTTACAATCATCCCTCAGCAACTTGATTTTCATAGCATAGCAAAAGAACATATTTTGAAAGAACACTTCCTAGTGAAATGGTCTGAAGCGTTTCACCTTTTTAAAACTCTGACTCTACGAAAACTAAAACACAGATGGACAGCAATTTTTCAAATAACAGGTTATTTTCATTTATAATCTGTTTTTCAGAGAGAGACAATTTTTGTTCTTCATCATCATCCTCCTCATCATAATGCATTATTTCCCACAGTTCTGATGATATATTTAAAAAGCATGATGTCAACCAAAACTGCAATTTAACAGGAATATCCTTACATCCATGAAGAAAGACTCATTGCTTCAACTTTTTATTTTCTGAAGTGGTTCAGGAAACTCCTTTATCTGTGGAAAACCTTGATTAAAAAAACACAATACAACTGTCCGAAAACCCACCAGTATGCGGAAGTGCAGGCTACCCAGAAAGATGCTCTTGCAAACCCCTGAGAATGCCCATAAAATTATCTTATCTTAGATATTAATTAGTAAGAGTTCAGTTCAAATATCATAAATCCAACCTTCAAATTGTTAACAATGGTGGCAAAACCTAATAAAATTACAGAAGTAAACCTAATTATTAAATAAACCTGATTATTAACAAATCTTACCTGTCGAATTATACTTTTTACACAACGGATAGGAAGGCCTTGATAGTTGGACTTGATTATCCATTTTAGAAGATGATGTCCAAGTACTTCAAAGACCATACAGACATCTGGGATTTAATTAAGGATAATTTCCAAATAAACTTGTTGATGAGATCAACACAGACATTTGCTTGCGTACTGGCTAAAGCAATCATCACCCAGTTTAGAGGGAAAGCGGTTCCCCCTAAAGTTTCAATTATATATAAACACATACAAAACCAGTGCCCAACTGCAGAACAAATTAAAGTAAAACATTTTAATTACACAAATCTTATCCATTATTTCTACATGTTAACAACAGCACCAGGATGAACAATTAAATAAGTAACTGTAAAAAGTAACTAATTCATTTTGTTCTCTTTGAAACACTTAAAAGTACTGATTCAGCCTATTATCTCTAGTTTCTACTAAATTTTAAATTATCGGCATAGGAGGTTTTAATAACGAAAGCGCACAGCAACAGTGTTTTAGAAAATGAACCATACTAAAAATCCTTATTAGGCTCAATTAAGAATCACTTCACAACAAATACCAGAGTAGTAAGAGAATGGGTCTCTGACAACCTACAATGCCAAAACATTTAATGTGACCCAGCATTTACTACTGGCCACTGAGAGAGGCCAACAGTAGATTATTAGGGAAGATTATTAGGAAAAAAACAAGGTGCAGGAACTTCCCGTAATTTGTGGTTCTCTCTCAAGAAGAACAAGGACTGGTTTGATGAAAACAATCAAGAGATACAGGAATTGTTGAGGAAGAAGAGAACCACCCACCAAGAGCACCTTGCACTGCCATCCTGTCATGCAAGAAAAATAGCTTTTCGTCTTGCATGCAGCAGGCTCCAACAGAAACTCCGTGACATCCAGAACAAACGGTGGATCGATCTAGCTGAAAAAACTCAATTATGTGCAGATATGGGTGATCACAAAGGATTCTATGAGGCCCAGAAAACAGCATACAGGCCTACATACCATACTGAAATTAGAGCAAAGGTAAGAGGTCTAAAGACTGGTCAAAGCACCTTGTGAAGAACTGTAACGAAACTGCTGCTAAACTTCATCTCGCTTCATGTTCCTGAATTCCTGTATTAGAGGAGACACTGAATAGTCATTTCCCAATCATACCAATCAGGTCTACTTAGAACATTACAAAACTCTGTTCATTCAGAGGAGTCTTGGTTTCTGTACCCCACAATGAACAGAAGTCACTAGTAGAGCACCTAGCCTTCACAAAGGATGAGCAGAGTACATCAGCTCTGCAAGGTTTATTAACTGAGCCCACGCAGGGAAGTTGCAAAGCTACAGCAACACCAGATTTCATAAAGGCAAGACACTGCAACATTCAGAAATGAAATTTAGGACACCCACCCACAGTACTTCAGACCACTGCTGCTGCAGACTCTTCAGTGCACATTCCTGCCATTCCTCACACTTACAGAAGTGTTAAGCCTTGCCAGTAACCAGAAGAAAAAGGGCTGCAAAGAAGTGAATGACTGAAACGGGAGGGCACCAAGAAGTAAGATGTAAGAGTAATGGCAGAGGCAGACAAAAAGAACAAGGGTCACAAGAAAGAGAAGTGACGCCTACCTGAAAAAAGACTGCAACGTTTTGCTGGGAGGACTCTGACAAAGTCAAGGCACACTCAGTACTGGAGAGACAACTGGAATGGGGAGAAGACGCAGAGCAGGCTCAGTGTTGGGAGCAGGCATGCGAAAATGTGACTGTTGTCTGATTTACTATCCTGGTCTCGAAAACATTAGCTGTAAGCCAGACTGTCCACAAGCAAGAGTCTGGGAAAAGTTATGCATTAACTATCAGGAAACTAGCCTTGCAAGCCTAGGACCCTCCTACAGCACCAATATCCTGACAGGTGAGTAGGTCCAAAAAATCCTCCAGTAAAAATAAACCCGCCCAGTGGACATGCCTCTTGTGGAACGCTCTTCAAAGCAGCATGGGGGATGTCTGAAAGGGGAAAACGAAGCAAAGCAGCAAAAGTGAGAGCAAACATAACATTAACCAGTTGACAGGCTTAAGTACTGAGAGCTGTTCCTTCTTGACTCAAATCCTACCTGTAACTATCTGTCTACAAACACACATTACTAGAGCATTTAGGTGAGGGTTAAAGGCTAGTTAAGCTAAATGAAATGAGGCTCTAGTACCAACACAAAAGACTTCAGGAGGTATTTCAGCTGCTTCTGGATTGGGAGCATTTAGGTGCCATGGCATTTAATTAATGCTGTATATTCTTTGGAGATACATTTATTACAATCATTATAATGTTTCCTTCTTTATTGTGTCACTTGTCTCTCCAAATTCTTGTTCCATTATGTGATTATCTGATCTTTACTTAAAAAAAAGCTACACTCAAATGAACCTTTATTAAGGCTCTAATAAATATCCAGTGCAAACAAAAATAATAACCTACCTTACTGAAAACACCAAAGTACCCAAGTTCTGGAGTTCTGTTATTTCATGACAAAACTGTAACTGCCATCTTTTTAAAATATACAAGTAACTAAAAAATTTTCAGTCTAATGGGGCATAACACACATTATTAGAATTCCTCTGTATATAAACACTTATTACAGCTCCTAGGAGAAAGATGACTGTTTGCAGATACACAGTGCAGGCCAATGGCTCTGCACATTCCCAGCTCTGTTCTACACTGGTTCTTGATAATTTTTCCTGTTTGGAAGCTCCATGATATTTCGTGATATTAGCCATCCAAAGGATTCACCCACCACTCTTCTGTCTTGCTTTAACTTTTAAATGTAATCCATAACCAATAACTGAGCCTCTAAGAAGCATATGTTGTTTTAATTTATAGTCAAGGAACAGATCTTTAGTGACTTGCCCAAAGGAAGCTGGAAACAGCAGACCATGGAAAAAATCTTAAATTACTCTATTTCTCTCAACCTGTTCAACTCAATGACACTAATGCAGCACTGATATGGCATTTTAAAAATGTAAACAGCAGCAAAACATTAAAATCAATTACTTGCTCCCTCCCAAGAGAACATGCACTAAAGATTATTTTCCCTAGAAGACAAAAATGAGTTGATCAAATAATCAGTGCAACCAACCCCTGCTCAAATAACTCAGGATGCATAAGATACCTGGTATCCTATTTTCATTGGTAGCCTTCAGACAGCTGCAATTCAAATCTGAGTCCAGTATCAGGTCATCCTGTATACTGGCACTTGTCTGGAAAATCTATTTCTCAGTAAGGCAAGGGCATTTGCCTTCCACAATAAAACTTCTATACTGTCAGAGTTTTCAACATGAAAACTGTAATAGAATAAATCAACATGAGGTGTCCAATTTTAATCAGCTAATACAAAGTTACCTGAACCCTTAGCACATGATCTCTTTTGGTTTTGTCAATGTAAATGCTATATTTCAAAAAGATACAAGCCTGGATATGCTTTCAAAATATTATCACTAACAAAATCTACTCTCCACACTTAGAAACGGTTCTCACCTTTAATATAGTTGTATACATACATGTGAATCTTAGCAAGAATTTAAGAACATTACTGGGAAACTGCTCTGATAAACGGGTAGGAGTTATTTCTATGTATAGTTATGAATGCATTTTCTTATTCCCTATTTCATAATAAGAGTTTTACAATAAAAACAGTAAATAGAAATTTTTGATTTCTAAAACTAACTTTTATTATTCTTCAATTGTACAGCTGTCAGCTGAAGACCTGAAGTACTTTAGCCACATTATATTTTTGTGAATAGCTAGACAAAATACAGGTATTTATAAATTGCTTCTTCATGAGCATCTAAACTCATAAATTAAACCTATTTTCTGGTAGCACAACAGCAGCATCAAGAAACCCGACCCAGAGTTCTTTGCTGTGTTAAGCAATTTCTTTGATCATCATTTATATTCAGTTTGAAATGACTACTAGCAACTGTATGGTTTATTTTAATTCTTTCTAATTTGATAATAAAACTCAGGGGAAAAAAGCAGACTATACTAATTTCACTTACATTTAAGCGCCTTTCTACCATGGTAGCTGACCACTGACGCAACCATAGAACACATCAAACTGGGGAAAAGGAGTTAACACCAGTTTCTAACCAAGAATACCTGACCCCACACTCTCATTCTCACTCACCACATACCCAAAGGCCCCATAACTAATGTCAAGAGACAGATGAATGAGATGAAAACTGCTGCACACTTTTCTCTGGAAGGATGCTTGCTAGTGAGCGTTCACATTTACTGAGAAGTCACCTACATTCCTCTCCTTGATGAGAGCTGGTGAAAGCCACCTTAATCTGATCTGCTGAAGATTGAAGGCACATCACCAAAATGCAGTATGAAGTTCTCTAGAGGAAGAACTGTCTCTGTCTGGTGGTATGACACCATGAACAATGAGGTCTGCTATTAGGGCTCCAAAACACAACAAGCATACACATAAATACCAGCTATAAAAATTAATGAGAGCACAGTAATATAATAAGCTGCTAAAATATGTAATTAGCAAGGTAACTCAGTTTAGCTCAATTCTAAAATCAGACCCAAAATTTTCCCAAGAACAATACTCAGTCATATTTTACTTTGTCTCTCTCCTTTCCTCTCCCCCTCCTTCTTTTTTAAAGGAAGCGTTTGAAGGTGAAGCTTTACAACTTTTCCAAAACAGGGTTAACACCTGGCCAAAAGATGATCACATGAACAAGACAAGAACCTCCACATCCTCCCACTTCCCACAAGAAATCAGAAACCAGCTTCTTCGCACTTTCTCTTTACCAGTCTAGAACAAAACAATATTTCTTGTAAGTTTCAGTTATCACAAATGTTTTCATTAAAACTCTAGTTTTAAAGCAAACTATCTGCAGTTCTACCACACCATGACAGGATTCATGTGATTTCTTTTTAAATTTTGCATTGTGTTTAGAAAAGCTAGGTTACTTTCACTCCAGGGAGTGCATTACACACTGGACTACTCTTTGCATCTACTTATATTTTGGTGTTTCTAGTTTACATATTTAAAGTAAGAATAACTAGAAAAAAATCCAGAGCTAATAGACCATTTTTAATGAAGATGCCATGTTTTCAAAAGGATACGAATTCCATTCATTCCAGAAATTTTGAAGTCATCGATTAGCTGTACAACCATGTCCTTGTTGGGGTCATTAGGGTCACTTTCACGAACCTAAACCAATAATGCAAACACTGACATTTTAGGAAAAAATTCACTTTAAATACTAATTAGTTAGATTATTATTAGTAGTATTGGTACTGAACACTGTATTGTAAGAGTGGTACTTACACATTTGAGCAACTTTATTTCATCCAAGGCTGTCTCTGTATAATGCTGGGCACTTTTTACAACTTTCATTGCAACAAACCTTTTTCCCCTTGAAAAGAACAGAAACATTTTTAACACATACTCTGAGCTAATACAAACATGGTTTGAAGGTTGGGAAATTTTAAATAGAAAACTTCATAGTCTTATGTATTCTGACAGAAAATACCGAAATTACACTTAACAAGAACTTTTAACAGTACTGTTACAAGCCTAATTTATTGAATATTTTGTTGTCTTGGTGCTAATGTCTTTAAAAGAGGAATCTGCTTACACATTTTATCATTTAATCAAGGTATATTATATTTTTTATTAAAGATACAACAGACATAAAAACATTAGCTTATTCTCGCATGTTCAAAACACGAGAATTCAATAAGCAAAGCTAATTTGTCAAAGAAAATAAAATTACATTTATTCTGAGAGCTTTTATAAGCTATACCCTTAATCAAAATACAACTGTAGTTATCTCTCTGCATAAAACAATAGCAAACATTTACATAACTTTATCATGCATGTAAAACAAAAGTTACTGCAGACATAATAAAGTAACATATTAAAAAAAAAAGTGTATGGAAATAAATAGTTTTCTTACTGCATATCCCAGCATAGCCAGACTGTAGAGAAGTGTCCCCATCCTAACTTTCTAATAACATGATACCGGCCATTGAAAAGATCACCAATTTTCACTGGATGATAGCCTCCTTTCATGAAAAAATGAGTAGAAAAAGAATATTCAGAAAACAACAATAATTCCCAGGTTTTCAAGTCATTCTTGTACCATAAATTTTCCTTCTCAAATTGTCCTGTACTATAAATAGAAAATCTCAAGAAAACTTTAATGTCAAAAATTCTGCCTTGCTTGGCCTGGAGGGAAAAAACTCATGTCCTGTAACTACTGTAGAGTTTATTCACCCTTCTCTCTTATGGTTTTTATTTATGGTAATATTACCATCTGTTCTGTATTTCCTCAGGCTTATCTTCCACTTCACAGACAGTACAGAAGAGATCTACATTATTTCTTTATCGTATTTGAAGCTTCTCCAATCAACATACTTTGGATGATTGCAGAATCTCAACAGAGATTGTTTTAATTCCCATTTGCTTTCTAGTAATAAAAGCAGCAATAAAATACTTCCTGAGAAAATGTTAAGAACAATGCAGACCTTACTGCTGCTCTTCTGCTTGGCTCGTGACCCACAGCAGCAACACATTTTTCTGATGTCTGAGGGTTTTACAGTGAGGAAGAGAGAGTAGGCAGCTATGGGCTTTGTCTGAAATGCTCTTTAATTACTAAAGTCCGCAGTCCTAACTTCCACTACTACACAGGTCCTCCAGAGCCTCACAAGACAGAAAGGCCAACAGAACAGAGTAGGCTGAAACTCAGGTTTGTAGGCAGTGTGAGGAGGTGCAATGAAGCCTTTTATTTCCTTTTTGTCTTGAGAGGCATTCCTCCACCCAGTCAAATACAGGGAAGCTAGTGATCACACAGGATTTTTATTCAGACCTTAACACACCAACAATAACATCCACAATTCTGCCTAAATTGCAAACAAATAATAAAGTTGCACCATGAACCCTCCAGGACATCAACAGCAGCAGACTCAGAGCAGCTGCCAAGGAATCACTTCTTTGTCTCTTTCTGGTCCTTCACGATGTCATGCCCAGCTGTCCTTTGGCAGGATCCTCCACTATTGACTATTCCATTTGGAATCAGGAAAACCTCAGAATGCAATCTAAGTTGCTATATTTGTTTTGAAAGCCCCTGAAAATCTTGTTAGAACTGGTACACAGTTAAGACAACAATGTGAATTTATAACTTAATTCCTTGGATTTGAAACAGGGATGTCTCTCTTATCTCCTTTTATCTGTGGAAGTGTGATGTCAAATCTGGATATTTTTATATTTTTTTCCTGCTAATAACATCTTCTGCCTTAACAGAAGCTCAAGGATTTATTTATGAACTTCTCTCAAATGCTTCCAGAGCAGATTAATAAATTTAACACAACTGTACAATAGAATTCTAAAGATTACATATTCAACAGAAGGATAAAGCTTAAATAAAGTATTGTGTTAGATGTTGGTATGTCTAACAAACTCTAAAACACGCATAGCTTTGATCTATGTATGTTAAGGTGTAACTTCAAGCTTAGCAAACAGCAGACACTTGGAGGCTTGCTCACAGCTTCAACCAAAGCTGACCCATCCAACATGGTTGCAGCTGCCCAGGCTCCCACACATGATCCCACTGCCAGAGACTCCAACAGCTCCAACCCTCCTTCATCAGGGAAGCAGCAATCACAAGTGTTTGTCTTGGCAGGGCAGGTCTGAGCCAAGCGACAGCAACAATTTCAGAAGAGCAGCACAAGTCCCCACTCCCTCCCTGCCCAGCAGGCACCAGAATGAGTCTGATGTGCACAGGCAGCATGGACAGAGCACCCTCAGCTCCTTTAGCCTGGCACGTAGGTGAAGAAGTTACATCTTTTCCACGAGAATTCTGCACAAATCTATGAAGACCCTGATATGAGAACAATCTTTATACTCTTAACCCATGAGAACTGCACGCTTACTATGACACACAACATTTCATTTCACATATCATTAGGTGTATAGACACCAACATTTGCAGATAAAAAAGTGCAAAGGAAAAAGAAGGCCCTGGTCCAGGAGCAGTACAAGGCATAACAGGGGGACTGAGACACAGGGATCTAGACTAGGATTAACTCTCAGGACTGCCCTCAGGGGAAGAACTCCCCATTCCTCCATCACTAGGAGGCAAGTGTTCATGAAAGCTGCCAGGGCAACTCACCTAGCAACCTAAAAAGATACCTCTTACTGTGCCAACCTCAGTAAGGATGCACACATTGCCAAGCGGGAACTCCTTATTTCCAAAGAAAAAACCAGACCACTTTTGGAACACCTCACCTGTTCTACTCTCCAGGAAAGGAGGGGGACATGGACTTACTGAGAGTAAGTATTGACTATTATGCTGTCCATTTGCAAAAAGAAACAGTATGAGACACATATGAAGCCCAAGTCTACTGCAGTTTCATTATTAAAGAAATTTTGCTGAGCAAACACACAAATGTGAATCCAGACTGATAGAAAAATTAGAATTTTAATTTGTCTTTTTAACCATCCTTCTAGTAACAGCTGATGAAGATATTTAACAATCTGGATAAATATAATCATTATTTAAGACAGCTATTGACTGTTTTAAAACAAAAAAAAAGAAAATTCTACTATTTGGTAAATTTTTTCCATAAAACTCTATCCAGAATTATGAAATCATAGAGTGGAAGGTTAAGACAACATACAGAAATTCTACCTTTCCTTTACTGAAAAGGTTTGCATTTGTGAAAGGAATCAAGTCTGATGACCTGATACCAAAATTTATGTAAGAGACTTTCACATAATTCACCATCACAGGATCATTTCTTCTGAACTGAGTTTTTGCTGCATTTATTATTGCACAAAACCAGTGTGAAGTATGAAACATTATTCTCTATATAATAACTTTTTCTTTACAAACATATAGAATTAAAAAAAATTAAATTTTAACACCTAATTTTAATACCTCTCTATGGTTTGCTAACAGATTTCAAAATTCAACAATATAATTATTTCTGGAACACTTGACAATTTTCCTAAATATCCAGTTCTATTAAGTCATTCTCTAACAGCCAAATGACTTCAGATGTAAAGCACTCACAATTCATTCAGTCTTTTTCACTGCCAGAAGGATGTGGGCCTTCAAGTATACAAAATAATGTCCACAAATAATTTTTTTGCACTGAGCAAAACAGTTGCTTTTTTAACATGTTAACGGCATAACACTCAATGATGAATGAAGACTTTAAATACACATAAAAACATGTTTCTAAGAATAGTTGCCTTGTAAGGCAGCTTTTGGCATACCTGTGCTTCAAAGTAATCAAAAACTTCTGATAATTTCTTCCCATCACCGACAGAAAAGAAAACACCATATAGAGGAAATCCAAGACACTAAAGTCAAATTAATAAACTGAGGGTTGATACATTATTTTAGTAAACTCTATGTGTTGCAAGTGTAACAATACTATATATGTAAAACCCACGTTATTTTGGTCCCCACACCACTGTCACAACTAATTATAGCAATACACCAGCCTATGTGACAGATGCCAACAGTGGCAGCATATTCTCTGACTATATATATTTCAGAAGATACTTTCCACTGCCCTAAGCCACAACAGGAGCAGTTTTGGAAATAATCAGTTACCACTCCTGTACACATTACTCCCTGACCATTCATATCAGTGACATATGCACTTAAGGGTTGTGGACAATCAGGTAGCAACACAGTTAAATGCATTTTAAAAACTGCTGTCATCCTGAATGTAATGAATGTAATTATTTCAGTTCTTCGTGATACAGAAAGTATTTCTAAAAACAGTAACATGAAAATACCTATGAAAAATTAACTGTTTGGGAAAAATTACGTACTTTTGGGAAAAAAATACAGGCATTGGAAAACATACAATGTATCAGTGGTACTGCTGATAACGTAACAACAAAAAAAAAAAACAAACCTGTTTTACTATTCACTGCAGCACACACAGGAAAAAAAAAAGTCTCTCACAGCCAGCTAGCTACATGCATGCAAGAAAGAGGGTCAGAAAAATGAGATCATTATTCCTGAATGCCTCCTGAATGTATTGGTAATTGTAGTTGGCTCGTTCTATGTTTGTATAGGGAATTATTCCCTTTGTGAGCGGGATGAATGGGAGACATCTCCAGGGGGCAAGGAAGATGATCAGAGAAGCAAAAAATTCCAATTACATCCATGACACAACAGGCTCTTGAAAAAATTCGTCAAGTGTTTCAAGGCTTTACACAGAAGAAGAAAAACTAACTTCACTGTTTAAGTACCCCTTGAAAAATTATGAAGTTGGACTTTTGATATTTCCAATCCTTACACAAATAAATATTTGAGAAGTATTTAATATAAATTCAGTGATACAAACAGAAGTCATGTCACAGATTTAAACAGGTCCTGGGGGAAGCCCCCAGGGAACAGAAGTTAGTCTGTTTTACACATATGGCTGTAAGTTGTCTTTCACATCAGGTGCTGATTTGAATAGATCCAACCTCCTGATTAAAAAAACTACAGTGACTATTTACTAACCACCATGTTACATGGTCAAGATGCAAGCCCAGCACACAGTAACATAACCTTAAAAATAAAATTAGTAACAAAAAATACTCAACAGGAAGTTAACAGGCCATATGTTAAATTCATTTAAAAAATTAATTATATACTCTTCATCAAAATTGCCCTCCTATGAAATTTCAGATTAGGGTTGAGAAGAGATGAAGTATGCTCTGAGCTTCACTCAAAAACTCTGGAAGGCTGCCATCTTGAAGATAAAATTAGGAATAAAAGAGACACTCCAGAAATAAATAATAATTTCCAAATCTTTATCTACCACCCTGTAAATAAATATTAGGCTACCCAAAGCAGAAAAAGATATTCAAGCTAATAAAACATCTCTCAAAAATAATGGAAATAATGTGTCTAAAAGCCATCCCTGGAATTCTTTACCAAATAACTTATTCATTCCCTATACTGAATATAAAATATGCAAACAGAAAGTCTCTATAGCCCCAGATCATCCCAATCCCATTCAATTCAGATCCTTATAGTGAGCCTCTTGCCAGTTGAACTCCAGCAGACTAAAAGAAGGAAATGTACTGCTCAGTCTTACAGGAAATTAGGGTCAGAAAACAGGTAAATCATCCACTGGAACAACAAAAGCGCTGCTCTCGTAGAAACAAATAACAATCATGACATCCCAAATGAACCAAAGCTTGAACCACCTTTAATATATTTTAAAAAATTCAAAGCTTCAGGATCAGAAAAATTTAGAACTTTTATGCATATAATTTTTCAGGAAGCCTGCAAGTATTCTTAGTGCAACGCAGTTCGTTTTAAAAGCATACAGATCTCACTCCTGACCTGCTCTAGTTAAAGAGGTAACTCATAAGCAGGCTGTCAACTTAGGACTATTTTTTTTTGTTTTGTGATCTAGCTTCTGCAGATGGTGGCATTTTGCAAGAGATACTGGAACAGAGACAACAATGGATTGTTTGAAATTAAACGCAGTCTCTATTTCAGGAAAGAATTAAGTTGGGGCCTTGAAATGCTTAATCTCAAGGAAATACAGACTTTACAAGTAAACAGATGTTTAAACAAATCCTTATGCACTGATGGAAGATGTCAGAGATACCAAGAGAGTTATCTTAAGGAGTAAATGTGTTTTAACAAAAATGATAGAAGAAAACAAAAAACAAAACACCTGAGCATGCTTTAGTGACATGTTTTTCTTTTCCCTGCTGCAGATTTCAACAGTTAGTTGGAGTTTGCTGGTTTTGGCTTTCATTACTGGCATTTGTAAGCCACTTACACATTTGAAATGTCATATATTAATAAAACTTTCACACTAAAATGAAATAGTCACTTTCCACTGTTAAATCTGAAAATACAAAACACTTATTCCAGGCTGGGAGAGAGGTTTCTTAAAATAGCACATCTCCAGGCTTACACAGAAACTCTTGATTAAGTAAGACTTTATGATATTTGACATAGGGAACTGTTTCTTGGTATGAGGAATACAGAATACCAGATATAGTCAGTGTTCATAGAGTGCTTTTCAGCTGTTCAAAAGCATTAATCTGAAGTGATAAAACTTTAATTTAGTTTCCTAAAGTATATTCATATTCTTGAAATCTACAACAATAGAAAACCCAGAGTTGATAGACCTGTTATTTGCGGTTTTTCATTTAAGTACAGTATACATTTTACCCTAATGGGAACAGACCTACAACTTTAGCAGTGACATTAAAATAAACTTAAGTATCGACACTATTGTACTGCAGTCACACTTTTATGTACTTAATAATATTTAAAAAATTAATATAGCAAATACAGAAATTAAGGAAATTGAGATAAAATGAAGATGTAGAGAGCCTCAGACAATGCTGAGGGCTGTGAAAGACAGCAGGTGGAAAAGTATCGTAACATCTCCGGATAGTGCAGGTAAGAAAAGAAGAGGGAAAAAAAGATACAGTTTACAAAATAAATGTAAGTAATGCTGTTAAAGGCATCAAGGCATTTTGGAACTTTTTTTTGGAGTGAGAGGGGTTGTTTTGTCTTGGTTGGGGTGTTTTTGTTTCTCTTAAAACTCACATCAGTCAAGAAAATTTTCTTCTCTATTCTTTTAACTAGGACATCAGGAAGAAAACAGGGATGGGGTATTTGTATATTTATTACAAAATGTATAAAGCTATGGCTAGGTAAAAAACTACAGCTGAAGACAATTATGCATCTGGACCTGAAATGAGTAGTTGTTCCTAATTCTAGTATAAATAAATTCCATAATTAAAGACCAGTTCTTTAAAAATCTCCCAAGAACCGTAACTAAGACTCGCACTGCAATGTTCACCCTCACCGACAGGGGTGAACTGCACACACCTTTACAGTAATCTGCGGGATCCTCTTGCTCCTCATCGTCGGACCCCAAAATCTCCTCCTCTGGCTCTGGTGGGGTGGGCTCCGGCAGGGGTGGAGGTGGGGGCGGGGGTGGAGGTGGAGGTGCAGAGGGAGCTTTCTGTTGAGGCTCTGGCCTGAAAATAGAAGAGAGACCACACTTGGTAAAGAGCTTCCTCACAGGGGTCACCCCATCCTCCAGAGGGGATGAAAAATGCTTTGGGAAATACCAGTGAAGCATCTCATGTCCTCATTGCCATTTTTCATATCCCCCATAGGACCACAGGGAGGCATGGACAGAGAGGCACCTGACCAAACCAAAAGCAGGTCTCAAGTGAATTTGGACTTACTCACTGGCACAGCTTGGAAAAGATACATAACATTTATAACTGGATATTGACAAGCTTTTAAAACTCCTGACAAGCAAATGAGATGTTACACACATCTTGAGCACAACTGAGAAGAAATACTTTTCAAAGAATATCAAGTTATGGAAAAGCTCCTGCCTGCTAGCTGAAGTAAGAAAGATCTCACTAATACAGAGCGAGAAACAATCTTCAAGGGACACTGACCCAAACCTTAATGCACTTCTCTGCATCTGTAGCTGCTGCTAAGACTATGGAAAGCTGTATCAGTATACAAAGTACTGAAAAAGAGCTATTACAAAATAAGAGAAAAAATTAATCTTCCTAAGTAGCCTATGATGCATTCCCAGAACATATGCTTTAAGATACCATATATACCATATGCTTTAAGATGTGCTAAATAAAAAAAATCCAAACAAAATCAAACGACCAAACCCCAACACCGCCAGCCAAGAGATGCTCTTCTGTCTTGCAGTTAGCTCCATTTTAGAAAAAAACAACCAAAGAAGTGAAATACAGTTTATATTTTATATCCTATTCTGACTAAGGCTGTACCTGGTATTTCTAAACACCTAAGAACTACTCACATTTCAAAACTGAGTATTTTCAATACACTTAAGTCCAGGGTTGAAGTGTACCTGTCTGTCAAATAATTTAGAAAGCCTTCTCCAAACAGGTTGATGTTATTTTTTGTATTCATACTTCTTACAAATAAAAAATATATACTTCCCAAATACATTTGCAAAGTAACTTCAAGCATTTATACCACCAAAAGCTGCTTAAATTTATATCTACTTCAAATCTAACATGTCTGAAAAAGAGCATATTAACAATATTCTGTCAATCATATGATTAAAAAACAGAAACCTAATTTTTCAGCATCTACAAAGAAAATTCAAATACTTCCTTGATCATGAATAAAAACTGCATTTATCCCACTCCTAAGTCCTCTTCCTTATAATTCCCCCTTTTTCTTTTTAAACACTGCAATTGTTCAAGACAGACAGACAGAGCATTTGGTGTCGAAGGGAACGCAGTTGGTCATAAATAAATTTCACTGGCAACATTCACCACCTGCACAGCAGCTGCTGTTATGCCTTCGCTTTAAAGGACATCACTGAAAGTTGTAAGCACTCCAAATTTATGTGCCTGCTACCCCTCCCAGATACTAAAATTCTTCAGTCAATAAATGGTTAGATTTAAAAAGGAGTATTTTGAACTAAGTTATTATGAGAAACCTAACCAAACAAATAAATTTACATAATTTTTAACCACATAAAGCTTTCAACAGAATAGAAGAGAGAGAAGGGATCCATTTGTAGGATAAACAATAAATATATTTGCACGTGCTCCTACTTACATAAATTATGCTGGGTTTTTCCCTTCCTGTTTGGCTCCCAACAGATGTCTCTATATGGTACATATAGAGACAAGGCAAGCAAACCACAAGAGGAAGGTGCAGCAGATTCTCTGACCAGTTACTCTTACTACAAACCAGATTTTTGGCCCTCCAGTAGTCTGGTTTCATGGCGTCAGCAAGCTGACAACATCATCTTGTTGGCAGAAATCTTTACTTAAACAAATTATCGTATAAGGATCTACAATTACAAACCTTAAAGATGATTTTGGATACACGGATCAAGAACTAAGAACATTTAAAAATTAAAAATTAACAGCTGGACTCGATGACCTTAAAGGTCTTTTCCAGCCTAAATGATTCCATGAGCAAGAAGGAGAATGCACAGTAAAAAAGCCTGCACTTCATCAATATATCTGAAAGAATTGTGTGTCAGGAAACACCGTGCTTGGACTCCTTGCTGTACCATAATTTTACTTTATTCTGACCACAAGTATCCATGTTATTTTGGTCACATAAGATGGTACAACTATAGAAAAGGCCAGGGTAGAGGAGGGCAAATGCAGTACAGGGGTTGTAAATTCAAAAATCCACTGAAATTGTGCCGATTTTGTCTTTAAAGATAACAACTACTTACTCTATTCACACAATAAAAGCAATATTTTAAAGAGAATCAGAAGCATTTCTGGAATCAACATTCAAACATTTTGTCACTCATTTTCAAATAAACATCAAGTCTCCCTATGAGGGAGAAAGGAAGTGTACAACACAAGATTTGTAAAAAAAATGCTAAACTTATTCCTAAGAAAATAGGTTAAGAAGACAGGGTTGCTTCTGAGTCTTTCTCAAGCTACTGTATTTGATTTTGGTTTGAAAAGGGTTATTTTCTTTCCTGTCTCCAATCCTAGCTGATTTTGGTATTCAGGAGTGTTTTCCTACTCTCCTTTGTGCACATCAGGAAGGAAGGAAAGATATTACCTTATTTCCTTCTGGAATTATTTATGATTTTTATCTGCAAAAACTAAAACACTGCTTTAAACTGAGGAAAATCTTTGATTTGCCCTTTTAGCTTTGCTTGCACCTTCTGAAAAAATCAAGATGAGTGAAGGAAAGAAATGCTGCTAAGTTAGATCAGCCTGACTGCTAATTCTGCACTCTTGCCTTATTTTGCTGGGTTTTTCCTTCAGTTTAGGATTCTTAGCAAGAGATTCTTATTGTTCTTTCATTTTGTTCACTTTTACTTTCCTGGGGTCTAAGTAAAGATCAAGTTTTCAACACTTGACTTGGCTGCTTCATTTCTGCCTACAAGTTGAATAACTCATCCTGGCATCACCAATCTTGTTCTTCTGCCAATACATAGTTTCACAGTTTTAGGTAGGACATCAGTCAATGAGAGTGCTCCAGTTTTGCCATTTCTTAGTATCCCCTTTATTGAATCGCAAAGATAAGCTATGATGAATGCTTCAACAATGTCTTAATTTGCAGTTTATGGCATGAATATATATTTTATTCAGCTTAGATTGCATTTTTTCCAGTATAGAGTTTGCGAAAATGTGAATTATTTTTTCTTGTAAGTGGACTTCAAAACATCATTTATACTAAAAATCCAGTCATTAAGAAAGCTGTGAGCAATAAACATGTATGCAACCTCCATTTCCTTTTCAGAAATACAATTGTCAAATACTACCATAATATAACAAGCTAATTCAACAGCTGTGTTGTTTCAAGTTATTACTCTTTCTTATTCCTAAAATGTTGTTATGTAATTATATGCTTCAGGTAATACATGCATGCAGAGATTAATATTAAATTTGTTTTCCTTTTTTTCTGAAGTAATCACTTGGTACTCTGTGGTCTACCACCATTAGGTTATTCATCACCATCCAAGCATAAACACTTAATTAACAGAAGATGACACACCATTTCTAGACTCACAGTATTCTGCCAGCAGGTATGCAGAGAACTGACCATCTCCACAGGCTACAATGACAAACCTTATGACTGTCTTGAAAGAAACATTACAAAAATTAGCAAACACTAATCAGCATATTTTGTCTTTTAATTACTGTCTTTTGAATGGAAAAAATAAATTTACAGCAAAGTCCAATCAAAATACAATTAAATCCTATTTTTAATCTGCTCTTAGAAGGGATGTTTAGTAAAAAGACAAAAGAAAAGTTGAAGCATTTCTCTTCTACAGTGAAGCTGAAGCAAAATACATCAAAACCCTCCATGGAGTCTCATAAAAAAATCAACTGCCCAGTGTTATGAAACACAAAATTAATGACAACTTAATTTTACTGTTCTCCATCATGGACATGTTGCTCTGTGTTCCCACTGGGGAACAGCCAACAGTAAAAGCAATTTCCCTAACATTAAAACCTGGAAATTCTGAGAAAATTAAACTATGAGAAGTTCAGGAAGAACTGTTCAGTTTTTTTGTTGTTGACGTTGTGGGTTCATTTGCTATTCTTCTGTTCTGGAAAAGGTAAAACAAGAGTAGTGAGGGTGATTAAAATCACAAAATGCCTTCCATATGGGAGGCATCTGAACATACCAAAACTCTTCAGCCAGGAAAAGAGACAGCAGAGAGCTACAAAATCTTGAGAAGCACAGAGAAAGCAAATAGGAAATAGCTGTCCACTGCCTCTCCTCACACAAACTGAGCCAAGTTGACATAAAATGGAAATAAAAAAAAGTCATGCAACATGATGTTAAAAACTAAAACCACCTTTTCTCCTCAGATATCATGGATAAGAGAAGTTAGTTTCAAATAGGGCTCAGGAAAACTCATGGAAGAAAGATCAGCTAACAGCTAATGCAAAAACCCCTTGGACTCACAAAGCCCATCAGCCTGAGACCACTGGATTTGGAAGAGCGTTCAGCACTTGGGGGCCCAACCCTGTGCTCTTCCCCAGGCAACTGCTCCTGGTCAGAGGGAACACAGATGCACCTCGGCTGCTTGTGCAGACACATCATGTTCAGACATTCCTTTCTCTTCCTCAACAAATAAATGATTTCCTTTACTAAAAAACAAAACAGACTTCAGGCCTCTTTATCCAAAACTCTCATAGACAAAAATTATGTTTTTATTATCAAATAATGGATAAGAATGTATTGCAGGCTATTTGTTCTATACAACAAGATTACCTGAAGAAATCCTCATGTTCCCCACGGGGAACAGGCATGTAACAGCAGGAGTCCTTCTCTATGAACACTGCACTGTACACGTGGGGACTAATTTTAGGTAAACAGAGCTTTACCTCGAATGTACCTAAAAACTGCAACTGATTCTTCTACCTTTAGGAAAATAGATTGCGTCAAACCAAAAAAAAAAAACTGGGAGGGAGACAAAAAAATGGTTGGATTAAGCTAGGAACTACCTCAATCAGAGAGGAAAACAAAACTTCCCTTC